ATTCAGCACTAATTTCCTTTAGGATTGACTGGTTTGATATCCTTGCAGTCCAAGCGACTCTCGAGAGTCTTCTCCAACACCACAGTTCAAAAGCATCAATTCTTCGACACTCAGTTTTCTTTATGGTCCAACTCTCACATCCATACATGATCACTGGAAAAACCATAGTGTAAGTCAAGTGCAGAGAAAAAGAGAGCGAGCCAGGCAGTCAGGCAAGAAAAGGGAGACTTATTAGAGGGAAAAGAGAAGGTGACTGGCTCTTAAGGAGAACCAGCGTTCTCCCTTTCTGATGGAGTCCTTCTTATACCCCACCAATGAAAAATTCTCTGAAGGGATGGTCACATAGCCGGAGGTCTGGAATCTGGTGGTCTCACAGCTTTGAGAAGATAGGCGCCAGTGAGATAACAGGATGCCATTTGGGCAATTTGGTCAGTCTCACAGATCACTGTGATTTTATTCTTCATTTGTGAAGTCTACATAATGAGCCATCTTATCAATGAGACTCCATATGGGTCCTATCACATAGCTTTGACTAGACAGACCTTTGTTGGTAAAGTAATGTGTCTGCTTTTTAATATGCTGTCTATGTCTGGCATAGCTTTTCTCCCAAGGAGCAAGCATCTTTTAATTTCAAGGCTGCAATCACCATCTGCAATGATTTCGGAGCCCAAGAAAATAAAGGCTGCTCACTGTTTCCATTGCAAAAACTCCTATAAATCCTGGCTCCTCCCTTACATCTTTGGAACAGTCCCTCAGAGCCTTTTTTTTTTTTTTTTTTTTGGTCAAAGCCCATGGCATGTGGGATCTTAGTTCTCCAACCAGGGATTGAACCCGTGCTGCTTGCAGTGAAAGTGTGGAGTCTCAACCACTGGACCGCCAGATAAGTCCCCCTCAGAGCTCTCTGAGAGCCTATCTCCCAGGCTAAGTTCTCTGTATGTTCACTGAATAAAACATAACTCTAACTTTTAGGTGGTGCATTTTTTTTTCAGTTGACAGGTATATAACAACTTTGAAGAGATCAAGAACATTTTGCTGCATGTATTCACAAACTCAACAGAGTCTTTTGCCCTAATCGATAAATGCCACAAAGTGGGAACAGGAAGCAGAAAGCAGCTTCCACAAGGACAAGCTCTTTGCATCAGTTTTGGATCTCTGTGGCTAGGCAAGTTTTTATTCCATCAATTCTGGTGGCTTCTGAATGGCATCCACCTCCTTTGTTGCATTTAAAATATTTATTTGGCTGTGCTGGGTCTCAGTTGCAGCATGCGGGATCTTTAGGTGAGGCATGAAAACCCTTAGTTCCAGCATCTGGTATCTAGTTCCCTGACCAGAAATCGAACCCATACCCCTTGCATTGGGAACACAGAGTCTTAGCCACTGGACCACCAAGAAGTCTCAGTTTATTGCATTTTAATTATGACTGGACAGAGACAAATGACAGCAAGAATTCAGGACCAGCAGGAGATATAGTATCAATTTAGAAGCAAAAATAAAAATAGTGAATATGGTAACTTCCCTAGTGGTCCAGTGATTAAGACTCTGTGCTTCCAATGCAGGGGGCATGAGTTGATCCCTGGTCAGGGAACTAAGATCCCACATGCCAAATGGCCAGAAAAAAAAAAAAAAGTGAATGTGAATGTGTTCAGACTTTTCTTCAATAAGGTGAACTCAGTTTGGTTATTTTAACCTAAAAAGTATTGGGAATTATTACAGTGCATTCATAAGACAGAGAACTGCCACCTTGAAATCCACTGTTAAAATTAAAAAGTGATTTTTTTTTTTTTAATGCAAAACCATCAGAGGGTGTCAGTCATCAACTCCAAACTGGAAGGGCACTCTTGGTCCCTGTGGCCTCCCTCTGTTTGTGTTTGACACCCTGGACCTTGGGACTCAGTCCCCTCTTCCTTACCATTCACCCCCGATGAGAGTTTTCACAGAGGAGTAGAAGAGTTCCTTTGGGGGTGCTGCCAGAGTCTGCTCTGCAGGGAGCTTTTGGGAGTCCCTCTCCCACCTCCCTTCTCTCCCCACCCGCCTTTGTCTCAGCACAACTGGACACTTTTCCAGGGCAGGCCCAAGGTGAGATGTTCTGGGAGACCGGGAGCTCAAGTGAGGGAAGGTGTTCTGAAGGGTTGCTCAGTGGGAGGCAGAGGGTCTGGCAGTCTGGAGGTGGGGTGGAGTGGAGCTACCCAAGTAAATGCTTTAAAACACCCTGGAACTATTTTCCTTTGGAGGAGGTGTGGGAGAGAATGCAAATAAGCACCAGGGAGCTGCTTGACTGTGGAGGGCTGCTCTCCGGAGGCTGGACTCACAGAAAGGGATTTTAAACCTTTGAAAAGAGTTTAATAGTGTTAGAGGCTGTGGCTCTAGAGGTTCTTCCTGGCTCTGGGTAGTCTAGGCTTATCAGGAAGATCCCATCCCTTCCTTCCAGAACAAGCAGGCATTGTTCACCAACAATGGACTTTGTTCAAGGGGAAGATTATCTCCCCTTTGTGGTAGAAATCAAGCTGGAGCTTCCCAGTTCAGAAGCAGTGTATGAATTCAGACTCCAGCACTTACTGGCGGCATGACCTAGAGAAAGTTACTTAACCTCTCAGAACCTCAGAGNTTGTTCAAGGGGAAGATTATCTCCCCTTTGTGGTAGAAATCAAGCTGGAGCTTCCCAGTTCAGAAGCAGTGTATGAATTCAGACTCCAGCACTTATTGGCGGCATGACCTAGAGAAAGTTACTTAACCTCTCAGAACCTCAGAGACTTCATTATCAAAATGGAGTTAAAGAGCATTAAACAAATAAGGTATTTAAAGTACACACAGAGGCAGTTCGCTGGTGGCCCTGTGGTTAGGACTCTGTGCTTTCACTGCCAAGGGCCCTGGTTCCTGGTCGGGGAACTGAGATCCCACAAACCTCAAGGCGTGGCCAAAAACTTTTAAAAAAATAAAAATAATAATAATTTTTAAAAAATGAATGTAGAAAGGCTTACAGTTATGGCTGGGCCAGCTTTACAGGTGTGGCGGCTTCCCAGGTGGCACTAGTGGTAAAGAACCTGCTTGCCAATGTAGGAGACTGAGACATAAGTTCGATCCTTGGGTTGGGAAGATACCCTGGAGAAGGGCCTGCAACTCACTCCAGTATTCTTGTCTGGAGAATCCCGTGATCGGAAAGCCTAGCAGGCTACGGTTCACAGGGTCGCCAAGAGTCGGATACGACTGAAGCGATGTAGCTTGCACGCACTGTAAGGTATAGTTCGGGCCGAGGCAGAAAAGGAGAGACGACCTCAATGGAGGTAAGTTACCTTTATTCAGGCAAGAAGGGGTGACAGTTGGCCTAACAACCAGGCTGAGCGTGAGAGGGATCGGGGAGGCTTCATATTTAAAGGGAGGTTTGTGGAAGCAATAAGGGAAACATTTAGTCAGGCGGGATGTTTTGGGTAATCTTTAGTTGAGATGTCATTTGTAGTTGAACAGGGCCTAGGAGGTTTTGGGCAGGGGGTGATAAGTCCCAGATAGATGCAACCGGCCCAGAGCATCAGGGCAGGACTTAAAGTTCGGTTTTGTTTCCCCCAAAGTTAGATGATTCAGCAAGGGCCATTGAGACCGTTGTTTTCATTTCTAGGCCCCAAGACTCTTTCATTCCAGACCCTGAAATCATGAAAAATGGGAAAAAGGATGCCGTATCTCTCTGGCTACTTCCTGCTGGATAGGGGTGACAGTTCTGGGTCTGGAACAGAGGATTGTCCTAGGGCCCAAGGTCTCCTTTTCCTGAGATCGGGGTGAGGCTCTCGAGAAGAAGAATGGTCTTGACCTGGTCTCAAGAGATGGTCTGAATCCGTTCTTGTAGAAACCTTTGAAAGAAAGTGAAGAGACAGGGTCCAAATAAGAGGAATAAAATAAGTACCAATGGTCCCACGAAAGGGAGCAACCAAAGGGGGCCAGTTGGAATAGGTTTGGGGGAGTGTAAAGGTTTTGTAACTCTTTTCTGCAGTATTCAATTCTGTCTCTAAGTTCTTTGAATCTTCCCTGGGCTATTCCCGTTTCATTAACAAAATATCAGCAGTCCTCTCCTAGGAAAAGGCAGGTCCCTCCCTTTTCCACAGTGAGAAGGTCCAGGGCTGGCCTATTTTGTAGGGCCACAGAAGCTAATGAGTTAATTTGTCTTTGGACCGAAACGAAGGACTCCACTACCTGCTCCATACCCTCATTAAGTTCTTGGGACAGCTTGTAGTGGAAAAGGGCAGAGGTCGAGATGCCTCCAATCCCAGTGCCTAGGGCTGCTGCTTTGCCGTTCCCAATCAGGAGCGGGGCTATGACAGCTCAGTTTTTTTTCTGTGGGAAAGTTCCCCTTGTGGGTAGACTATTTGTTCTATCTCTTCTTCTTTGAGGAATGTTAGACCCGGAGTCAGGAAGACCAAGATGCAAGGTCCAGGGAGGTCAAGGGGGAGACATGAATATGCACAGGTCCTACAGAGAATGAAGATTCCCAGGTTGGTGCAATTATTTGTGCTGTTCCAGAAAACCCAAGTGGAACAGAAGGAGGGAGCGGGGTTTGTAGTTGGAACCAGTGTAGCTGGGACTAGAGTAGTTGATACAGGTTAGGTTTGAAGAGCCTGAGAGAAGGACATTGTCAGAGACTGGCCCGATGAGTTGTATAGTTTTCTGTTGGGGAGGGAAGGTATAATTGCCCTGTGGCAACCAGGTTGAGGGTAAGGGAATGGCTCTGTGTGGTGAGGGAGGCAGTGACATGCGTATCCAACACTGGAATATGTGTTGTGTGTACTGGAAGAATTGGAAAGAAGAGTTGAGAAGGCGTTGGTTGTCAGAGGGAGGTTTTAGGAGAGGCCGTAATTGGGAAAGGAAGTCTAGGCTTTTATAAGGCTCAGGGGTCACCGATAACCAGGAAACTATGTTCTTTATGATTTGTTCTTGTTTCTTTTCCCGATGATCTGATACCCCCCGCTGTCTGAGTAACCCCCCCATCCCCCACCCCCGCCCCAAGTAGGTGACAGGATAGAGACATATGTTTCTTCCATTTGGCTTATGGCAGGTGCTCTCGAAACTCCTTCCTTCTGTACTTTAACAGTGAATAGGGATTTGGACTCCCCCCGCCGAGGTTCATGGTGCATGGTCTTGGAGCCATATTTTAACATGAGGAATGAACATAGGAATAAATGTCTGAGCAGGGGCAGGGACTAGCCAGAAGGCAGGGAAGTGCAGAAAGGATAAGGAACAGGGCAGTCATGGGTCTGTTATTTAGGCAGTGTGGGGGAAATAGCACCCTAGGAGTAGAACACAGCTAACAACGTAGGCGATATCGACAAAGAGATGAAGGATAGGGGACCAGTCCTGAGGGGAGACAGTTACGAGGTCTATAGCAAGGACTAAGATTAAAAGTGCAGTTATAGTTAGAGAGATGGGGAAAGGCCAGTCAGGGTGAGGGGCAGAAGGCCCCAAGTTGGTGGTTGCTTAATCTGAGGAGGAACAGTGTTCATTAGGATGTAGAATGATGTAGAGAATGAGAGTAAAGAAATCAATTTCATCTGGACTTAGGTTGTAGAAATTCCCCTGGAGCCACGGATGAGACATCCGCATGGTCAGATCTTCGTAGGAGGTTCCAGTCGGGGCGCTGGTCCAGAGGTCTTGTAGTAGTTGGGTTGGGAACAGCTGTAGGTTGAGGAGTGTCCAGGTCATTCAGTGTCCTCTCCGATGGTTGACAGGGGTTGTCGCCAGGTGATTTCTAAGGAGGTGGGCCCTGTGAGGGAGACCAGATAGGTGTCAGTTAAGGAGGGCAGCTCAGGATCAGAGGTGACCTGTTTTAGGCGAGAGATGGGTACCCAGGAGGTGACCTTCTCGAGTTTAGCTGCCGTCAGGGTAAGAAGGATGATTTTGAATGGTCCCTGACACTTCGGAGTTAGGTCACCCTGGGGATTATCAGACAGGTAGACCATGTCTCCAGTTTGTACAAGGGGGCTTGGGAGTCAGGGGCGGGCAAGTTGTGGTTGATGTATTTCCAGAGGGCATTGCGGAGTTCCGCCAGCAGAGGGGAAAGTGGGAGGCTTGGTATGGGAGGAGGTTCGGGGGGAGTCCAGGAGGGAGCACGGGCCTTCCACACACCACCTCAAAGGGGCTCAGCCCCAGGGGCTTTCTGGGCAAAGCCCCACTTTGAGGAGAACAATAGGCAAAAGTTTAGTCCAACCCAGATGTACCTCGAGGGATAGTTTTGGTAAGAGTTTCTTTGATTATTCTATTCATCCTCTGTACCTTTCCTGAGGACTGGGGACGATATGGAATGTGAAATTTCCAGGGTATCTGTAAGAACTGGAAAAGTTGTTGGGGGACCTTGGATGTAAATTCTGGGCCATTATTAGACTGTAGGGATGAAGGCAAGCCAAACCTGGGGATAATTTCTGTGAGGAGGATTTGGGCCACAGTGTAGGCTCTCTTGTTTGGGGTGGGAAATGCTTCTACACATCCTGAAAATGTGTCCACAAGGACCAGGAGATATCTGACTCTCCGAACTGGGGGCATATGAGTAAAGTCTATCTGCCAATCCTGTGCTGGGAGGCTGCCTCGCATTTGATGGGTTGGAAAGGATGTCAGTTTAAGGTTGGAATTGGGATTAGTACGTTGACATGTCTGACAGGAGCAGGTAAGGTTATCTAAATATTGTTGGTCAGCAGTCGATATGGGGAAGTGGTTACGGAGGAACTGTTGGAGTGTCTTGGATGAGGGATGAAAAAGTGAGTGTAGATAAGAGGATTTCTCTGGAGGTGGGAGGGTCAGGTGGAGTCAGGGCTAAGATGACAGGGGACTGGAGGGAGGGATGGGACAGGGCTATCTCCTTTGCCTTCTGGTCTGCGGCATTGTTGTAGGCTGATAGACTTCCCTTTCGATGTCCCCTACAGTGGAGGACGGCGGCTTTGTTTGGTAAGAGTGCTGCCTCTAGAAGTTTGTGGATCAGGTCTGAATTAATAATGGGGGATCCCTTTTGGGTTAGGAAACCTCTCTCTCTCTCTCTCCATATTAGGAGGTTTGAGTGAAATATGTTATAGGCATATTTGGAGTCTGTGTGGATGTTAACCCTTAGATTTTTAGCCAGAGTCAAAGCTCTGGTGAGAGCTATCAGTTCTGCCTGTTGGGAGGTGGTGTGAGGTGGCAGAGGTGAAGCTTCAATTGTCTGGGTCCTGTGAGTGTGATGAAGGTCCCCCTGGATGATGGCATATTCTGCCATGAAGGGTGGGGATTTTTGAGAGCTGCCATCAATGAACATGTGTGGGGGGGGGTGTCTGGGTCTAGGATGGGCTGATCTGTTAAATGTTGGGAGGGGTTTGGGGTAAGATCTACTGTTAGACTGCAGCTATGTAGGAGGGGGTCTGTTGTAGAGGATGTGGGTAACAAGCTGGCGGGGTTAAGGGGAGAGCAGGGGGAGAGTGAGAGCTGAGGGAGAGGAGAAAGGCATGTAGGACTTGTACCCTGGAAGGGGGAAGGGAGAGGAAAGCCTGATGTGACAGTAAGTCTTGGAAGGTGTGTGGAGAACAGACTGTTAAAGGGGCATGCCTAGAGAGTTTATTTGCTTTGGGTACGAGGGCTGTGATAGCAGCCATGGCCTGTATATAGGGAGGCCACCCCTTGGTCACCATGTCAAGATGTTTTGATAGCTAGGCTATGGGAGGCCAGGTGTCTCCAGCCCACTGGCATAGAAGTCCCAGGGCCTGTCCTTCGTTGGAATGGGCAAAGAGAAGGAATGACCTGGTGTGATCTGGCAGGTGGAGAGTTGGCACTCGGAGGAGGTTCTGGGTGAGGTGGCAAATAGCATTTATTGGCCAGCAAGGAGGGGTTAAAGAGGGGCTCATCCAGACATCCTTTAGTTGCCTCCTAGAGTGGCTCTGCAATGAGGAAGAAGTTAGGGATCCAGATACGGAAAAAGTTTAGGAGGCTGAGGATAGACAGGAGTTCCCTTTTTGTTTTTGGAAGTGGACAGTTAATTAAGGCCTGGATTCTATCTGGGGGAATAGTTCTTTATTAGTGAGATATGGAGATCCCCAGGTAGGTGACATTTGTCTGTACTACTTGGGACTTGTATCAGGACACCTGATAACCCCAGGATCCCAGGGCCCCAAGGAGTTTGGCAGTATGTTGGAGGCAGAGTTTTCGGGTTGGGCTACAAAGGAAAAGGTCATCCACATATTGGAGGAGATGACTCGGAGCTAGGTCGAGTGTCTATGGGTCCTTTTGTAAAGCCTGTCCAAAAAAAGTGGGGGCTGTCTCTGAACCCCTGCAGGAGAACTGTCCATATTATTTGTTGGGAAACATGAGTCTTGGGGTCTTGCCAGGTGAAGGCGAAAAGGGGTTGGGAGAAGGGGTGGAGGGGGATGGTGAAAAAGGCAAGTTTGAGATCTAATACCATGAAGTGGGTTGTAGTCAGGGGTATGGCAGACAGAAGGGTGTAAGGGTTAGGGACTACTGGGAATGCTGGTGTGACGGCCTCATTGATTTTTCAAAGATCCTGGACCAGTCTCCAAGAGTTTGGTCCCTTCCTTACTGCCAGAATAGGGGTGTTGTGTGGTGAATGGGTAGGAATTAAGATGGAGGTTTGAAGAAGACGGTCTATGATAGGCTTAAGTCCCTTGTGGGCCTCCAGGGTGAGAGAGTACTGTTGTTAGGTGATTATAGTCAAGGGGTCTTTTAGGGTAATGTGGACTGGGGGATGACGTTTGGCTATGGTTGGGTGATCAGTGTCCCAGACTTGGGGGGGTCTAAGGTGGGTAGATCCAAGGGAAGGTCAGGGGTGAGGTATAGAGATGGTCCAGGTGCCATCTGCATGCAGAATACAGAGACTGTATCAAGGCGAGGTATGGTAATAAAGGCCCCCAATTTGGATAACACATCTCTCCCTAGGAGTGCCATCAGGCACTGAGGCATTATGGGGAATGAGTGTATGAGGGTTGATTTTCCAAATTGATGGAGTAATGGAGGGCATATTTTTGGCCTTAAGGGAACTCCAGAGACCCCCTTGATTGTAACTTCTGAGTCTTGAGTTGGGCCAGAGTAGGAAGTTAAGAGAGAAAGCAGCTCCAGTGTCTACTATAAAAGAGGTCTTTTTCCCAGCCACTACCCCGCCTACCCTAAGTTCCAAGCTCGTGTCCGGGACACAGGCTGGGGGGCTGGAACCCAGGCCCTGTCACTGGAACAACTCTCTCAGGGATGGGCTGGGGTTCTGGGGAGAAGTGGAGATCTCCCCAGGGGTGCCAGGGCATCCCTGTGGACATTCCACTCTCCAGATCTGGGAGGTGGGGACCTCCCCCAGGGTGCCAGGGCATCCCTGGGGACAGTCCATCTTCCAGTGTCCCCATTGACCACAGGTTGGGCTTGCTTTTGTGGGGGGCCACGGGTTTGGGCATGACTTTGCCCAATGTCCTGACTGGTTGCATTGAAAGCAGGGTCTGGGGGGGTCTTAAGCCCTGGTCTGGGATGACTTGGGCTGGGCTGATCTCTTCCCTTAATTGCTCCTGCCAAAAAGGCATATTTAGCTTTTCTCTCATGGTCTTTTTCTCTGTTAGCCTCCTCTTCTCTATTATTGAACACCTTGAAGGCTACTTCTAGAAGGTCTCTTTGGAAGGTCTCAGGGCCCTTCTCTAGTTATTGACATGGATATGAGTATTTTTTTGCATTCCTTCTAGAAGGCAGGTAATCATATGATTGAGTCTCCTAACACCTGGGTCACTGGGCTGGTATGTCCAGTGGGGATCTAACTGAGTCACCGCCTCATCAGCAACTGGGCTATTCCAATCCTGGTTATGTAAGTGATCAACATGTGCTTTCGCCACTTGCCAGATACGGTCTTTTTCATCTGGGGTGAGAGTGATTTGGTGATTTATAATATAGTGATTTATATTATATTTAGGATATAGTATACATCACTCCATGTGAGGTTATAGGCCTGGGAGAGTCTCAGGAATTCTTTTCTGTATTTGGTAGGATTTTCAGAGAATGATCCTAACTTTTCTTCTGTCTGGCTCATGTCTGACAATGAAAATGGCACGTGGACTTGGGTGCGGCCCTCTGGTCCTGCCACCTCTCTCAGGGGAAACATGTGTTGGGTACTTCCTCTCTGGTCCTGCCAACTCTCTCAGGGGGAACATGTGTGTGGCAGGGGGGAAGGGAAGGGGGGAGGGGGAGTTGGAGAGATGGGGTAGTGGGGTTGAGGGAGAGTCAGGAGAGATTTCAGAGTCAGTAGGTGAGTTGAATGAGGGGGAAGGAGAGGGTTGGTGGTGTGGCTGGTAGGCAGGGGGCTCGTCTGCGGGGGGTCAAACTCCGGGGGTGCGGAAGGTCACGGTTGGGGTTAGTTGAAGAAGAATAGCCCTTTTGCTTAGGTGGCAAGGTGCATAGAAGGACCTCATGGGTGGAGCAGGCCTGCTCCGAAGGCACCAAAAGTCTTGGGCATATAGGACCTCCAACCACTTGCCCATTCCATTTAAGGAAGTCAGTGAGATTTTGAAGAATGTTAAAGTCAAATGTGCCAAATTCAGGCCAGCGGTCTTGATTGTCCTATTGGTATTGAGGCCAGATCTGAATACAGAGTTGTTTTAAGCGGTTAGCTTTGAGTTCAGTGAGTAAGAGCGGTTTGAGATTTTTGAGAACACAGGCCAGAGGGGAATCTTTTGGGACAGATTGGCCAGACCCCATAATTGAAAGGCAAGTAGAGGCTCCTATTGGAAGTTCGAGTCGTCACCTGTACCTACAATAGGAGTTATGAGAAGAGAGCTCCGTGTTGAGGTGGAGCATCCCCCACCATCATTTACAGAGTGGCCTTAGGCCGGGGGTCCCCGGGACCCGGAGAGGACTGGGTTCTAGGGTGCCCCTAGAACACCGTCAGGATCTTACCTTAATCTCGGGGCCGGCTTGAGTGGAGTGTTGCATGTAGACCGGTTGAATGTCAAGATTTCCCTGTTCCGGAAGTCGTCAGAGAGAGAGAGAGAGAGAGAAAGGGGATAGAGACGGAGGCCCGCGGGAACGTAAAGCACCAATAAAGCCTTTCACAAGGCTTGCACTGCTCACAAAGGCACTAGGCGTCCCCAAGGGGAACTTATGAGCCCGCAGAAAAGTGAGTTCTGCAGGCGTTCACGTTCCCAGATTCCGGGAAAAGGGAAAACAATGAGAGGGAGAGAGAGGAGAGAGAGAAAGAGAGAGAGAGACGAGTGCCTACCCCTCTCCCGGGTTTCAGCACCAAGAATGTAAGGTATAGTTCAGGCTGAGGCAGAAGAAAAGGAGAAACGACCTCAACAAAGGTAGGTCACCTTTTATTCAGGCAAGGAGGGGTGACAGTCAGCCTAACGACCAGGCTGAGTGCGAGAGGGATCAGGGAGGCTTCATATTTAAAGGGAGGTTTGTAGAAGCAATAAGGGAAACATTAGTCAGGCAGGACGGTATGGGTAATCTTTGGTAGTTGAACAGGGGGTGGGACAGGGAGTGGGCAGGGGGTGATAAGTCCCAGGTAAATGCAACTGGCACGGAGCATCAGGGTGGGACTTGAAGTTCGGTTTTGTTTCCCCCGAAGTTAGATGATTCAGCAAGGGCTTTTGAGACCGCTGTTTTCTTTTCTAGGCTCAAGGACTCCTTCAACTCCAGTATTCTTGTCTGGAGAATCCCATGATTGGGGAGCCTGGCAAGCTACGGTCCAAAGGGTCGCCAAGGGTCAGACACAACTGAAGCGATGTAGCATGCACACACAACGTATGCAGTCCATCATACAGAGAACCAGGGTCAAAGCGTCCTGCACTTGGCTGAATATTCTGCTTTTGCTGTCTGGCAATTGTTAACAATTTGTTGAGGAAGAGTTCATGTTTTTATTTTGTACTGGGTCTGCAATTTATGTAGTTGATCTTGCTACCAGGTGTTGACTTAAAAAATAGTCACAACCTGAAAGTTAAGACCTAAAGGAGATCAGTCCTGGGTGTTCATTGGAAGGACTGATGTCGAAGCTGAAACTCTAGTACTTTGGCCACCTCATGCGAAGAGTTGACTCATTGGAAAAGACCCTAATGCTGGGAAGGATTGGGGGCAGGAGGAGAAGGGGACGACAGAGGATGAAATGGCTGGATGGCATCACCAACTCAATGGGCATGGGTTTGGGTAGACTCCAGGAGCTGGTGATGGACAGGGAGGCCTGATGTGCTGCGATTCAGGGGGTCACAAAGAGTTGGACATGACTGAGCAACTGAACTGAAACTGAACTGAAAAGTTGAGAGTTATGTTTTATTTTGTGAAATTAATTAGGACTTCAAGCCTGGGAGATAGCATCTCAAGTGACCCTGAGAGAACTGCTTCGAGGAGGTAGGGGGAGGAGTCAAGTTACATAGAAGTTTGCAACAAAGGGCAGGTAGTCTGAACATCAAAAGTATTTTCATGAATTAAAGAAAACCAAATATCTCAAGTTAAGGAATTTAGCGCTTTTCCATGCATGGGAAGATGCAAGAGTCTGGGCTCACTGAAATCATTCTTTTCGTATTGGTATTGCTGTTCAGTTCCTAAGTCATATCTGACTCTTTGTGACCCCATGGACTGCAGCACACCAGGCTTCCCTCTCCTTCACTCTCTCCTGGAGCTTGCTCAAACTCATGTCCATTGAGTCGATGTGTATCTCAGCTATGGCGCCAGTATCCTGCATGATTCTTCAGTGCTCACCATAGAAAGTGGCAGCAACCTAATGGCTGCAGGATGGCAGGTATTGTTCTCCTTCCTTGTTGTCTTGGAGGGCTGGAATCGCTGACGACTGTGACATCCTTGCTTATTGAAATGGCAGGAAACACCCCATTTCTCAGTCCTGAGTCTGCAAATTATGTAGCTGGTCCTGCTATGAGGGCAAGATGTTATCCTCTCAACCCGGCCCACTGGTCCAGGAATCTTAGAACCTCCTTGAGAAATTTCAGTTTATTAGGAAACAGCTATTCTACACTCTGGGGGAGACAGAGGTGGTGCCATGGTTCCTGGGCAGGACTGAGGCTGTAATGAGAAAGTTTGAACCCCCTTCTACAACAGTCACATCCCGGCCACTTAGCCTAGAAGAGCTCTTTGAGTAAGGGGCCTAGAACCGCTAGGCTTGGCTGACTCACTCGGTAGCTAAAGGCCACACTTTGAGTCCTCCACGGGCTGATTCCTTAGGGAAACTGAGCACAACATGGAATTTAGGATTGATACAGGCTACATAAGTTAGATGAAATCATCCAAAGTTTCCTTACCAAAAAAAGGAAAAGGAAAATCAAATTGTTCTAATCTTTTCAAATCCTTTTAAGCATATATTAATTCCATCACCGGCTTCCCTGATGGCTCAGTGGTAAAGAATCCTCCTGCCAACGCAGGAGATACCGGTTCAATTCCTGATCGGGAAAATCCCGCATGCTGTGGAGCAACAAAGCCACAACTACTGAAGCCCTTGTGCCCTAGAGCCTGTGCTCCATGACAAGAGAAGCCACCTCCATGAGCCCATTCACCGCAACAAACAGTAGCTCACGCTTGCTGAAACTACAGAAAGCCCGCTCACAGCAATGAAGACCCAGCACAGCCAAAACCAAACAAATAAATTAAAAAAAAGAAAACACTATATAAATTCCATGATCAGAAGGCAAAAGCCAAGAAAGCAACAAAAAAATAGATGTTTTTATCAATAAAACTATTGCTGAGGTTGCCTCCACAGAAGAGGTTTACAATTTCCATTTGATATAAAATGTTACCTTCCTCATGGCCATCACAGAAAGTTTATTTCCTTTTGGAGGTAAGTGAAATGAAGTGTTCATTTAGCAAATCAAGCAATTTGTTGGGTAAGAAGTGATTCCATGTGAACCCTGTGACAACTGAAACATGCTATACAAAATTACCAAGGGTTGCAATTGTGTTCCAACATTCTGCTTTCCCACCCTGGCAATTAAGCCACACACACAGCCTCCCAAAGAATTACTTGAGTAGTTACTGTGAAGGCTTGTGAAACAGGTTGAGTGGGGAGCAGAAAATGCCATCCCAAAATGTTCTACTTTAGCAAGTTGATTGCTTTGAGTTGAAGGCAATTAAAAGAACTAATGCTTTTGAACTGAGGTGTTGGGGAAGACACTTGAGAGTCCCTTGGACTGCAAGGAGATCAAACCAGTCCATTCTAAAGGAGATCGATCAGTCCTGGGTGTTCATTGGAAGGACTGATGCTGAGGCCAAAACTCCAATACTTTGGCCACCTGATGAGAAGAACTGACTCATTAGAAAAGACCTTGATGCTGGGAAAGACTGAAGGCAGGAGAGGAAGGAGACAACAGAGGATGAGATGGTTGGATGACATCACTGACTCAACGGACATGAGTTTGAGCAAGCTCTAGAAGTTGGTGATGGACAGGGAAGCATGGCATGCTGCAGTCAATGAGGATGCAAAGAGTCAAACACGACTGAGCAACTGAACTGAACTGAAGACTCAGCAGATTCAGGAAAAGCTTTCTATCTCTCCTTTAACTGCTTAAGAGAATTTAGATAGGGAACCTATACCAGAAAGAGAGCTATTCCCAGAGATACTTTTATATATCAGAAAGACTTATTTGTGTGCCATACAAGCATGTGTGTAACAAACATTTGCTCTTCTCATCTTCTTGCAAACTGTCTTCTGCCTCTTTGAAGTCCCCAACCACTACCCTCTTCTCTTTAGCTCAGGATTGTATGTGCTGTGCTGTGCTTAGTCGCTCAGCTGAGTCCAACTCTGTGCGACCCCATGGACTGTAATCCAACAGGCTCCTCTGTCCAGGGGGATTCTCCAGGCAAGAATACTGGAGTCGGTTGCCATGCTCTCCTCCATGGGATCTTTCCAACCCAGGCATCAAACCCAGATCTCCCGCATTGCAGGCAGATTCTTTACTGCCTGAGCCACGAGGGAAGCCCAAGAATGCTGGAGTGGGTAGCCTATCCCTTCTCTACCTGAAGACCCAGCAATCGAAGCTAGGGTCTCCTGCATTGCAGGGAGAGTCTTTACCAGCTGAGCTACCAGGAAAGCCCTAGGATGGTGTATAAACGTCACTTGCCTGACTGCCTTTGAGTCTATCTTTGTGGGACTGCTGTACATACTTATGTGATTAAATTTGTTTTTCTCCTATTAATCTGTTTTATGTCAATGTAAATATTAGACCAGCTGATGAACCTAGAAGGGAAGAAGGGAAAATTTTTCCTCCAAAACAAATTTATTCAAGCTCCAGTGAGGCCTCACTGGGCATTCTAACTCAGAAATTTACCTCAAGAACTGGAATTCACAAGGGGTTCTCAGTTTTGGAAAGATGATACATTGTTTAGGTCACTTTAAACTGCACCACGAAATGTAGAAATTTAAAAAATGGGCCAATCTCAATCTTATTGTGGTAATCATTTCACATATTTATATAAATATATCAAGTCATCCTGCTGTACACCTTAAACTTGACACAATATTACATAGGTGGCACAGCATAAAGAATCCACCTGCCAAGGCAGGAGACTGGGGTTCCACCCCTGGTTCAGGAAGATCCCCTGGGGAAGGAAATGGCAACACTCCAGTATTCTTGCCTGGGAAATGCCATGGACAGAGGAGCCTGGTGGGCTACAATCCATGGGGTCAAAGAGTTGGACATGACTAAACAACAACAACAAAAACCCTTTCTAGCAAAAAAATAGCTTAAACAATAAAGAAAAATTGTGATTTCACATAAGATGTGATCGCAAGTTAGAACGGTTAGAGGATTGGCTGTGCAGATCACAAGGACCCTGTGCTAGATTTCTAGGGTGGCCACATCAAAGTCACACACACAGCATGGCTTACAACAATAGAATTTTATTGTCTCACAGTTTTGGAGGCCTAAAAGAGAAAAATAGCATCTAAAGGAAGATTATGGGGAGTCAGCAAGTCGGCACACAGCAGAAACTGGCAGAGAATCTGACCCCCTGCCTTAATGATGAACTGAGATTATTTCCCCTACTTCCCTTTCAAAAACTTTCATGGCCTAGCAGAATCTTCAGAGTTGGTTCTGAAATACTTGTCTGCCTTCTCCTCAGGTTGCCAGACTCCTGAATAAAGGAACCTTTCCCTTTCCAACGAAGTTTAGTCTCTTGAGTATTGGCTTTTTTTTTTTTTTTTCCCCAGCCGTACTGGGTCTACGTTGCTGTGCACAGAGGCTGCTCCCGTTCCAGTGGGCAGGCTTCTTATTATGGTGCTTCTCTTTTTGCGGAGCACAGGCTCTCAGCGTGCGGGCTGCTGCAGCTGCAGCACATAGGCTAAACAGATGCGGCTCTAGGGCCTACGATGCATATTCTTCGCTGGCTGGGGTGCACAGGCTTTGTCGCTCTGCTGCTTGTGGGATCCTCCCAGACGAACGTTCGAACCCACGTCCTCCGTATTGGCAGCTGGATTCCTATCCACTGTGCCACCAGGCAAGTTCGAGTATTGGCTTTTGAGTAGTGAGCAGCCAAACTTGACTTTGGAAACAGCTTCACATATACACAGTCATCTATAGGCAAGTCCGGGTTCTGCCACTTGCTATTGGAATACCTCTCTTCGCTTCCATTTTGCCTCTCATAGAGTTGTTATGAAGCTCAAGTGAAATCATATGTATAAATAAATGTGTATGTGTGTAAGATAATTGTTATTACAGCTAGACATCCTTTACTTTCTCCACACATAATGTTGCCAGCTAGCAACTGATTCTCAAGTGTTGGGATGAGAACGATTTTTAAGATATACTGTTTGATTCCAACTAAATGACATTCTGGAGAAGGTAAAACTATGGAGACAGTAAAAGATCAGCGGTTGCCAGGGTTTGGGAGTGGGGGATAAAGAGGTAGAGCACAAAGGTTCTTTAGGAACAAGAAACTACTCTGTTACCATAATAGTGGATACATGTCATTATACATTTGTTCAAACCCATAGAATGCATAAAACAATTGTGAGCCACAGTGTAAACAATTGACTTACGGCGATTATGATGTGTCAGTGTAGGTTCAGCCATTATAACAAATGTACCATTCTGGTGAGAAATATTGATAATAGATAGGGTGTGCATATGTGGGGTCAATGAGTATACTGGAATATCTGTACCTTCCTTTTCATTTTGCTGTGAACCTACAACTTTCTAAAAAAAAGAAAAAAAAAAAGAAGTCTTTTTAAAGACAGAGAAAATGGAAAAAAATTAATGGGCCAATTAATTATCTTGAGGGACGTTCCTGGTGGTCCAGTGGTTAAGAGTACACCTGCAAAAAAAAAAAAAAAGAGTCTGCCTACAGCGTAGGGAACACGGGTTCGATCCCTGGTCAGGGAACTAAGATCCCACATACCGAGGAGTAACTAAACCTGCATGCCACATCTAAAGAGTCTGAGCACAATGGCAATGAAGAGCCTGTGCACCACAATGAAAGATGTCAAGTTTGGCACTAAGATCCAATGCAGCCAAATAAATGTTTAAAAATATTAAAAATAAATAAATACTTTGGCTACATTAATTCACTCAGTTAACGATATATATTGAGTCAGACCCTGGCTGGGCTCTGGATAACATGGGAAGCAAAATTACTTTACAAATGCATAATGGAATAGTAGAGAGTCATTCAAAATGATTGTGTAGTTCTGCATTTACTGATCTGAAAGATATCCATAGTAATCTATGAAAAGGATAGGTTTTTAATAATATTATGAGCCCATTAAAAATATATTTTAATGGGGGAAAAAATGTCTGAAAAGTTCTGTGTCAAATCAAATGTAATAGTATAGCTACTCCCGGACATTATGGTTTGTTTTTTGTTTTTTAAAGTATATCTTTGTATTTTTTAGTTTTCTGCAATGGATGTACATTTGCTTGCATGGACACTAAATATGTAAATAAATGAAATAATGGTTAAAAGAAAAGGAAGACTAAAAAATTAAGTCTGATGTGCTTTAAAGCAGTCTGATTCACTTCTGATTGCAGTTTTCTCCTCTGTCCACACCTCACTGGAGCCAGCCTTTCTCTAAAGTCCAGCCTGTAAGGCACTGTAGGATTGGAAGCTAAGAGAGCCTCACTGTAACAGGGCAGGGAGCCAGGCTAGGAATGTGAGACAGTGAGAATGTGAAACAGGCTGAGCCGTTTCAGGGCACTTTTAAAATATGAAAAAGAAAAAAAAAAGACTTCTTCCACTCCAAGAATAATTCAGGAAATCAAGTCTTGGGAGGAAGCTTCAGTCTTCAACAGTGAAATCTGGGAAAGGTATGGGAAGTACACAACTTGAAAGATGTGCTGCAAAGCTTTCTTTTGCCGTACAACATTTAGCAGGTTATGGCTGTTTCTGAGGTTGTTTTTGTAGATTAGATGGCCTGAAAAATATATCTCCTTGGGTATATTCACTTCCCAACAGTTGTAGGACATGGCACCCTGATCTGTCTTTGTCATCGCCTAAGCATTCAAAGCAGACTCAACATTAGTCTTCCTAGCCTGTGAAATGAAAAAACAGACATTGCAGGGAAGTGTGTGCTCTGGGGGCACAGACGGCTTTTCTTCCACTGCTTTGCAGTTTGGACAGTTGCCATCCATTTGGGTTCCTCTAAAACAGCCTTTTTTCCAGACCCCAGAACAAATTGTAGCCAGAAACTGTTCTTTGTCAGAAGGCAATTGCAGCCCAGACTTCACCAGGATCTTGCCCTCTTCTCTCAGGGAATAACTTCTCTCTATGGGTCGGGATCCTGGTTCTCTTGTTTACTTGGGGATTGGACACAGCCCCTGGTTCTTTCGGGAAAACCCCCACTATCCCAGGGTTTCTATTTTGTCTTCAACATTGTCCAACTTCTATCTGCTCTCTGGATACCACATCTTCCTAGTATCAGGGACTGACATGTTTTGTCTTCCGTCTTCCCTTTTCTTCCTCTTTAGACACCTCAGTTTAGTGAAACAAAATAAATAGACCTCTGTCACCATTGTTGTGCATTTGTGCTAAGTTGCTTCAGTTGTATCCGACTCTTTGTGACCCTATGAACTGTAGGCCCCACCAGGCTCCTCTGTCCATGGGTACCAGTCCATGGTCTAGAGGTTGAGGATACCTGCCTTATACAAACCATCCCAACAATTCCATTGACTAACAAAGAGGGTAACGCAACTATTTTATTAATATATCTTGAGTGTGGTGGTTGTACAAACTGTAAAATACTGTATATGGATTCCAAAATTCAAAGAACTATCTATGAAATAGGCTGTTATAGTACATAAATTATACCTCGATTGAGAACACCAACAAAAACTGGTTTAAGTAACATGAAAATTGTGTAAGATACAAAGCTAAAGCAGGAGAGGAAATGGCTGCTTCTATAGCTTAGGTGGATATATGAGTAAAGAGGCTATCAGGAGAATTTAAAACTGTGTTTTGCTGGAGAAGGAGATAATTTTCCCTTTAAAACATTTATTTGATATTAATGCTATGGACTTTGGGAGCTATAAATATGTTTTAAAACTTAAAGATGGGTGTTTATAAAATCTATGGAACTGAACACTTAAAGTTAGTTCGTTTTATGCAGTTTATATTAAATATCAACTACAAAAGTTTTAAAATAATTTATTTTTTGACCATGCTGGGTCTTCGTTGCTGCACAGGCTTTTCTTGAGCTGCAGCAGGCTTGGGTTTCCTTGGTGGCTCAGATGGTAGAGAATCCCTGCAATGTGGGAGACCTTGCTTCAATCCCTGGGTTGGAAAGATCCCCTGGAGAAGGGCATGGCAACCCACTACAGTATTCTTGCCTGGAGAATCCCCATGGACAAAGGAGCCTGGAGGGCTACAGTCCATGGGGTCGAAAGGAGTTGGACACGACTGAGTGACTAAGCACAGCACTCGTCAGTTGCAGTCCAGGAATTTCTCATCACAGTGGCTTCTCTTGTTTCAGAGCACAGGCTCTAGGGCACTCAGGCCTGAGTAGTTGGGACTCAACAGCTACGGTTCCCAGGCTCTAGAGCACAGGCTCAGTAGTTGTGGAGGACCGGCTCTGCCGCTCTGTGGCACGTAACATCCTCCCAAACCAGGGATCGAACTTGTGTCTCCTGCACTAGTAGACAGATTCTTTACTACTGAGCCACCAGGGAAGCCCTACAACGCTTTCAAAGAAGGCTTAAAGAAAAGTTGTGGGTGGTCGTCACAAGAAGCTACAACCCAATGAAAAGAAAATTCATCCACTTAAAATTTATGCAATCTAACGTATAGTACACCTTAATAAAGGAATACAGAAATTGAAATCTGGCTCTGTCTGTTGTGGACCACCGGTCAAGAGCCTCCAGCGATGACTCACACCCAGAACAGGCCTCCTGGGGCGTAGCCCACCTCCACAGTACCTGCTGTCCCTGGGCCTGCGGCCGGGGCTCCTGCAGGGGGCGCCTGAGTCTCTCAGCGGTGGCGAGCTCGCACGCAGGCCTGAGGCTCCGGGTCACCCAGGGCCTTGGAATCCAAGAGGTAAGGACGTGGGAGTCCCCTCCCCTCCCGCCCCCGCAGCAGGTCGGGGAATCGCCTCTTGGGGCCACCCAGCCACGCCAGTCCCTGCCGGCCGCGCTGACGTCACCGCTCCACCTCCCCGCCTCGCGCCGCCGTTCCCGCCCCGCCCCTTTTCCCGGCTGACACCGCGGTGAGGGTTCTCGCCTTCGGCTTCTGCCTGTCGTCCCAAGATGGCGGACACAATGAACCGGCGTCGCGCCGGTTGGCCCTGAGGCGACCGTGAGGTGGAACGACACAGTCCGGACAGAAGAGTGTTGCTTAAGCAGGAGGAGAAAGAGGAGGAGGCGTCCCGACTGTCGGCCGCTCTCCCGCCCGCCGCCGGCGCGGCCCCCGCCCCGCCCCGGTCGGCCCCTCGGCAGCCCGCCCGTTCGCCGGGCCCCGCCCCGGCCCTGCGCCGCCGCCGCCGCCGCCTCAGGCAGCCGCCGCCATGAAGCTGACCGACAGCGTGCTGCGAAGCTTCCGCGTCGCCAAGGTGTTCCGCGAAAACTCTGATAAGATCAACTGCTTCGACTTCAGCCCCAACGGCGAGACGGTCATCTCGAGCAGCGACGACGACTCCATCGTGCTCTATGACTGCCAGGAGGGCAAGTGAGTGCGGCGGCGGCCTTGGGCCGGGTCTGAGTCCCTCCCGCCCTCCGCGTCGTGGCCCTGCGCTCGCCCCGCGGCCCGCTCTCTGCCCGGGTCCGGTCCCGCGGCCTGTTTTGCACACGCTCCTGCCAGGGCCGCGTCCCCTCCGAAGCCGTCTGGGAGACCGTTTTTTTCGTAATAACGATAGCGATAACAATAATGATGATTTTGTTTTGTCTGCCTTCGGTCTCCTTTCAGAGCGCTTTTCCATCTCTGGGCAAATCCCACCTTGACCTTGACCTTTAAACGCCGGGTCCGCCCACCGCGGCCCCAGCTGGTAGCTTTTCCGCTAGTCCTCGGTGCCCGTCGGCTGTGGCCTCCTTGCAGAACCGCGGAGCCTCATTCAGCAGAGGCAGCTCGCTCTGCTCTCTGCCCGGTGACCTCGATTCAGTCCTGGCCCATCGCCGGTCCCTTGCCCCTCAGCTTCCCGCCGTGTTTCTGCCGGAAGGCCGCGTGGGTTGCAGTTGTTACCTGTCAGGATTTATTTGTTGTGCCTCTTTGGGCCCCTTTTCTTTTCCTTTCTGTTGCAAATCATTCTCTTACTCCCTCAGCCCCGGTTCCTACGTTTATAGTTAACTTTTTAACAGCATATGAAACTTTTCCTTTTTGCCAGACAGGGACGAACCTGGCCGTCCCATCCCGACCTGAATGTGAACCTCCTAATAGAACAAAGAAAATATCGTATAACAATTTCGTGTCTCTTCTTAAACTTTTTTTTAAAATTACACCATACAGTCCATTAGGACTTAGCACAATTCTAAGTCTGATCATGACATTTCTAGGTTGTCCCAAGCCCTCTGGAAACCCAACACATCCGTATCTCTGCAGAATCTCAAAAGCACAGCATTTTGCCAATTCCCCCCATTTTTCTCTTTGCCTCAGCTCTGCCCCAGACTTGCTTTCTCCATGTCCCTGCTAAATTGTGAGCTCCTTTTTGAATCCTTGGGTTTTTCTTTACGTTCTCCAGCCATCCCTTTTGTCTGTTTTGTTTAAACTGATGTCTTCTACAAACTTTCTTTCAGAACTTGTCTCTTCATTTGTGAATTTGGTTATCTGAGGTAATGGTCTGAACTCTTGTTCCCCCCAATTTTTTCCTACTTGGGCTGTGGAAATGTATTATGTAACTGTCTTTGGATCTGCCTGCAGTATGTGGGAGAGTGGCCTATAGTGGTGGTCCTGGGGGAAGAGAATTGTTAGCTGGACCAATGCTGAGTGGTGATGTGAATCAATGTTATTCAATTCTCTCCAAGTCTGGCCACTTGCATTAACGTGGAATAGAGTTTTGTATAAAGCTAGGGTGGAGATAGAGGTTGTGGGGTCCTAGAGCTAGAAGAAATTTGAAGCTGACTTGCTTGAAATGCTTAGTGTTTGTGCACAGATTAGAACCTCTCCCTGGAACTTGAGGATGGAGGTGTGTATCTTCATTCAAAGAAAATGAAAATTGTGAAAGCATTTCTTCAAAGTTTGTCTCCAAATATGGCATAATTTCCACCCCTTGGTAGAAATGACATTGACTGGAAGTCCTTGTTATAAGTAAAATGTTCATTTTATAACATAATTCAGTTCATTCATTCATGTAGAATTTTTACATGATTACAAGGTTGCAGAAAGTTATACCATTGTTTCCAAGAACTCCCAGGATCCAATAATTAGTTACAGTTTGCTCTGTTTTCTTTGTCATCTCTATGTAAATGTTTATATTTACATACATATATGTATATATACATATGTGTATGTATATACAGATATATATATATGTGCATTTTTTCCCTGAACCATTAGATAGTGATACAGAGGTATCAAGCCCCTTTATCCTAAACACTTCAACATGGATATCCTAATCCTAAGCACAAGGATGTTTTCTTATGTAACCAGAGTACAGTTATCCAAATTAGAGAATGTAATATTGACACAGTAGTATACAGCACATTCTTTAAAATATGCTCATATGAATTGTGACCTTGTTTCATGGTGATCTGTGATAAGAGAGTGATCTGATAGACTGGGTTCTAGTTTGGCTTTGTGACTAGGTATGTGACATTGGTCAGATCTCTTCTCTAGCCTCAAGGAGTTCATGATCCTAAGTGGTAACGTGAATAAAAAAATTTGCCACTAGTGTATGTCAAACCAACATTGGAAGAAAAGTAAGATTTCCTTGGAAAGCACAGTATCTGTATTAGATGGTACTAATGTTGGGAGTTTGAAAATAGCTAAAACAAAATTCTTTGTGCTTAATATTTTCTGTGTTTACTGTTCATTGAAACTTTCTTTATAATGGAGTTCATCCACTGAGTGATTTGGGGGAGGGGGGAGGTGCACCACAAGACATGTAGGATCTTAGTTCCCCTACCAGGGTTCAAACCCTCGATCCCTGCATTGGAAATGCACAGCCTTACCCACTGCTGCCAGGGAAGTCCCAAATGATTTTTGTTTGTTTGTTTAGTATGAAAGCATACGAAGGATATTACTTGTGGTAGGTGATGTGAATTATTCAGAGAGAAGGATTTAATATTGTTTGTTCTTACCTAATCACCAGAATCATAGTTTGTGCAAAGAAACTTACCACAATATTTGTGAAAAAATGTGCATAGTCCTCTGAAATTCAGGATGCATTCGAATCTAGCTTTCAAACTAGAAAATGATATGAGGTAAAAGATTATGTTAAGCACAAAACCTTAGGTTAATATTATTGATATATTTGAGACAAATAGGCCATATGTAATTGAAACTGAATATTTCCCTTAGACCATACCCTTTAACATTGGTTCTTCAGGCTGTCTTCATTATTGTAGGCTCAATACTGAGGTAGGTCAGCTTCACTTTCCATTGGTAGACGCAAAGTCAACTGTCTTGAGAGTAAGCACATGTTCACATGCACGCTCACTCCCTCATTCTCTCTCTCATTCACTGGTTAACACACAGTAACTACATGGCAGAACCCAGGATGGTGGACTCCACAAGGTAGCATTCAAACTGATCTTTTTTATTAACTCATCTTTTGGGAGATGATGAGAATGGGAAAATTTAGTGCTTTTGGAGTGAGAAATCTTGTTTGTAAATAGGTTTAATGTAGGGAAACCCTTTACGTCAGAAAAATTGAAAGTGCAATTTGACTTCTTAAAGCTCCCTGAGTCATCTGATTGTTTAGCATCTAGGTTTCAAGAGGTTTTTACATTGAGAGGGTGAACTTCTTTTCCATAAATTCTTGGTAAACAGTAGTATAGGATTTATGAAATCCTCCTGTACATAAGTGTAGAATATTATGAAGTTTTAGACAAAATATTTTGATGAGTTCAGTTTCAGCTTGATCTTTAAGATTCTGTAGAAGAAGAAAACGTTTAAGGAATTTCAACAAATAGACTGATAACCTCCAGCTTAGAAATAAGTGATTTTACATTTAAGTAGAGAGAAGAGGACTAATGACTAGTTTTGATACAGAGAGTTAGGGTTAGTCTTGTAAAAGGCTCAATATGTGCTTTGGAACTATAAGATAGAGAGGATGGAAATATTAGGTTATATTAGGAAAGGCAGTTTTGCACCTGGTTTCAGTTTTGATAAATCATTTCTTGAAGAAAGCGTCTTTCCAAGTGAATGGCTTAAGTTCTGGCCTCACTGGTGTGACATATTCCCATTTCCCTCTTTCTTGTAAGTTATGGATTGTTTTGTGTGTACTCAGAGCTTACTTGTGAACACTGTAGTAAAGGCCGATTTGAGCCCTCAGATTTACTTCTACTTCCTAACTTTAGCATTTGGTTCAGACTGTTGCACTTGATTGATTCTGTTTATTTCCTCCCTTTTTGGAAGAAATTCTGTTTCTTTTCAGTGTTAGGACTTACCAAGAATCTTCACCTTTCCCACATCATTCAAGTGCTTCTCTTTACATGACGATTTTCGATTTTGGTGTTGGAAGATTTTGATGGTTTTTTTATCTGTCCATTTCCTCCGCAGACCAAAGAGAACCCTGTACAGTAAGAAATACGGCGTGGATCTCATCAGATACACTCATGCAGCAAATACAGTCGTTTACAGCTCTAACAAAATAGACGGTAAGCAAGCTTCTTTTTAGCAAGTTAATGGTCATGATTACCTTTGTTAGGTAAGGTTTATGGAACCTTTGTGACCACTTATGTTTGATTATAGTTATTTTAAATTTTCCTGTGATGTTTGCTGTGCTAACATCATTATGACTGAAGAGATGCTGGAAGTAAGCCATGAGTACTTTTGAAGGACTTGAAACTGAGTAAGGAAGTTTTCTAGTTTAGAGTGGGGAGTGGAAATAGGAAGCTACAAATTGTATTTACAGTTTGTGCTTCTTGAAACTTGAAAGAAGACTTTTAGAAGAAATAAAAGGAAAGAACACTTGACACACAGCAAGTGTTAAAACAGTGCTGCCTTCCTGTTCAAAATAATACAGATTTGAGAAGTTTTCACAGATACTTTCAGGTATGGTAGTTTGGTAGACCTTAGAAGAGTTTTTGTATTGTCCATACTATTGATGGTCTGTGTCACAAAGGACAATATACTGACCTTAGTTTTCTTTGATTACAGGGACATTTTTGATCTGAATTTTATCCCCTTTTCCATTTATTTATTTAAAGTTTTTGGCCATACCATGTGTGCAACATGTGGGATCTTGGTTCCTTCATCAGGAATCAAACCTGTGTACCCTGCATTGGCAGTGCAGAGTCTTAACCACTGCTACTCCAGTCTTAACCACTGGACTCACTTTCTTCTTTAAATAAAGTTAATGTCTTTGACGAATAATAGTTATTTTTAGAATTTAAACTTGTGATTTCTTTCTCTAATAAAGGATCTTTGTTTTTACTGCTTTTCCTCTGTGATAGGTCATTCTCAGTTGACAGGTCATCTTGGAATTGAGGTATAACACTTTCATGTTAGGACTGGTTTTTTTTTTTTTTTTAATCTCACTGACTTATTGATTGTTTCATTTTTAGCAGTAAGATTTTTCTAATGTCATTCAACAGGGGTTGCTTAGACTGCTGTTTTGGTTATGCCTATCTCAGAGCAGATGGGTAAAAGTTTTTTGTTTCTTTTTTTTTAATGAGACTTCTGTATTTGATTTTTAGTAAGTATATTGTTTGTACTTTTCATGCCTTTATTTCAGAGGTGGTTTTCTAAGTAAGCAGTGCAATTGATACTTTTGGACAAGAATATAAAACAGGATTTTGAGGAAATATATCTCTGTGACCATCTGAATGAATGGTGTTTCTCCTGTTGGGGTGTTTTTCTGGGTGATTAAATGAGAATTCTCCAAATATGGTGCAAGATGAGGCAAACGTGTAGCACTTGCAGCTTTGCTGCTAGGCCTCTGCTGTGAGGACGTTGCCTTTCCTGTTTCGAGCACATCCTGAGGAGTTGCTGCAACGCTTCGTATCCTTTTGCCTGATTCCAGGCTGAGGTAGTAGTTTGTACAGTTTGAGGGTCTATGATACCACCCGGTACAGGAGATAACTGTACAGGCCACTGCCTTGCCGGGAACAGTGCGCCGGCTACCGAGTGGGGCGGAGACGATGGCGGCGCCCTGCCCACCTCTGGGAGACCAGGTAATGGGGAAGGGGTCTCTTCTGCTCAGGGCTGGTGAGGAGTTCCTCGCAGTAGAACAGTCAGGAATACTTTACAGTTGTCATTCAAGAACTTTGAAGATGTTTTCAGGGAAACTATGTTTAGTTTTGTGCCTTTTTCCCTCTCCCAGGTTAAATTCCCTGTTATTAGTACCCCTGTGAACGAGTGGAAAGAATTTGTGCTCTCAGCCTCTCTATTCCTGTATACTGTTTACCTCCAGAATGCTCTTTCTGTGCTTTCCTTTTCTGTATTTTGGCCCTATTGCCTATTACATTTTTCAACAATTGTTTCTTATTCCTAGTCTTGTCAGAAGCATGGTACTTTACAGTTCTATTCTTCATGGAACTTCATTCCCTTCCCAGCACCATCGTATTTTGTTTTACTTTTTCAGAAGGAGTGATTTGGTTTTTAAGAGTATTTTTCTTATTTTCTCCAAGCACAGATCTCTGTGATAATTCCTTTCTTTGATACTGTAAAAATCTCACTGCTGTGAACTGTGACTTGGTATAGTTCATGACTTTGATTTTTAAATATCTTGCAGTCTTTTTAATCTAAATTTTCTCATTTCTTTTGGCTACTTTCTAACTCATTTATCTGTATAAAGGACCATTATAGTTGGTTAATTAGAAAAGGAGTAGAACTTTACTTCTCTTTCCATTTTATTTAATTTTAATGTAAATTGCGTATTCAGTTTACATTCAGATGAGGTGAAGGTTGGGTTGACATGCTGTTGGAGAATGCTGGAGAAAAATATGCCAGAGTCCAGCCTGATCCACAACTCAGTATGGCTGTTTAGTACTTTGAGCCTGTTTTGTCAGTAGCCATATGTTTTTCTTTAACATTTGCATTCTGTGGGTACTAAAACTGTTGTTTTTTGGGGGGTGGTGGGGCATATTTGTGGGATAAATTTCATTGTAACTATGCAGAAGCCAAAGATTGGTAACAACAATGATTTTTAAACATAGCTCTGTATGCTTTCAGCTCGAGAACTCTGCTTTTGAGTTATGTGAAATCTCTAGTGCTGTGGAAAGGAGTTATTCACTATTGTTCATTCAGACTTTGCTTGAATTATGGAGAACAATGAATTCTTTTACCTTGTCATTTCAAGATGAAAATGCAAAGTAAGTTATTATTTAAAAATAATAGGATATTTGTCTTCTTTCAGATACTATTCGTTACCTGTCATTGCATGACAACAAATATATCAGGTACTTTCCTGGACATAGCAAAAGGTAAGACACAGGTGTTAAAAAAAAGTAAATAGATTATCCAGAGAATAAACTGAGTGGAGAGATTTTATTAGTGAAATGAAGCTAGTTTCTCACTGCTGCTTGGCATATCTCTTTTTTTTTTTTTTCCATTTATTTTTATTAGTTGGAGGCTAATTACATCATTACAGTAGTTTTTGTTATACATTGAAATGAATTAGTGCTTGGCATATCTCTTAAATCTCCTCTTGTTAACCCTTCCTAAACAGTCAGCTCTAGATTAATCAAGGTTGTAGAGGCAGGGGTAGGACTTCATGGATAAACTGAAACCTCAGTTAGAACATTAATAGGAAAAATGTGGACTAAGGATATTCAGTGGAAACCTATATAGTAAAAATTGCATTTGGCATTTAGAGATCTCAAATATCAGACATCCCTTAATGAAAGGACAGTTTACATGTCTGAGGCTTCCTGTATAGGTGGCCCCCATTTCAGCATGCCCCTCCTTTACATAAACATGTTCCATATGAAGATCTTCATGAGAATGCACAATTAATAAATAAAATTGTCCTTTGTTACTTTTTGAAAGTTAAGAAACTTGTTTCCTTATTCAGTTTCATAATGCAGGTTGTTTCTCTCTGTCTCTTATCCCAATTCTCCTAGTATATTTCCTCCAGTTTTTCAAGTTTGGGTTGAATGTTATACACAATTTCCCTTGGATGCTATTTTAATCACTGGTACTTTTCTTTGCAAATGTACAGTAATCCAACATTGAGCGGTTCAGCCCTGATAAGAGGTGGGCAGAGAGCACCCTGTTTACAGTGACACTTCTGATTGGGCTGGGCATTTTCTTTGTTGCTGAACATGAAAGTGAAAGTGAAGTCGCTCAGTCCTGTCTGACTCTTTGCGACCCCGTGGACTATAGCCTACCAGGCTCCTCCATCCATGGGATTGTCCAGGCAAGAATACTGGATTGGGTTACCATTTCCTTCTCCAGGAGATCATCCTGACCCAGGGTTTGAACCCAGGTCTCCCACATTGTAGGCAGATGCTTTACCATCTGAGCCACCAGGGAAGCTGAACATAAAAGGTGGCAATTGTTGGTTACTATGTAGTTCAGACAAAGAATGGCTTGGGACTAGTAGATGTTTTTGTTTGTTAAATTAATGTTCACAGACACATTGTCTATAATTGAGAGTTGGTGGCAGTTGTTTGAAACTGTCCGGTCTTACCACTTGCCCAATTTCTTGACCTCCTGATTCTTAATAGATAACTTTGTCCTTCCTTTTGTGAGAAAGTTAAGGCCATCCAAAATGAGTTCTTTTCAACTTCTGTCTTTTCCACCTAAATTCCTTTCTTCCTTAGAAACCATTCCCTGAGAAAGAAGTAGTTTTTTTTTTTTCCTTGAGAAAAGCAACCCGTCTCTACTTTCTTCCATCTCCTTTACTGCCTACAGGCTTCCTTACCTTGAATTTTTTTGTTGAGAATATCACCCACTTTTCACTGTCAGACATAGAAGAAGAATCTGCATATTCCCATCTCTACCTCTTCACATTCATTCACTGTTTAATTCTCTCATCCAAGCCAAGCTGTTTACTCCCCTTTCCCTGCTGCCTCCAGGTAAAATACACTGCCTGGGGCTTGTTTTGGCACTCAGGCTCTCAGTAAAACTTTTTTTTTCCCCTTTGGCTTTCCATCTTGGTTCTGTTCTTGATATTCTTGGCCTCTCTTTCTCCTTTAACTCTGAAGTAAGCAAGTTTCTACCCTAGCTTTTTTTTCTTCTTGGTATTTTCTCAGCTACCTCCATCACTGATTTCATTCACCTTAGATGGCTTCCCAAATCAGTATTTTCAGCCTATGATTTTCAGACTGGACTTCACACCTACAGGTTTTATACACATCTCTGCAGATGTCTCTGACAGATCTGATACTCCATCCCTCGTTAAATTCCTTGGGCCAGTTCCTCTGTCTGCCTTATGTTTTTTCCATCTGTCTCTTCTAGTTCTCCCGACTCAAAGCCTCTGTTGTCTGTTCACTGCTTTTTCCTTGCCTTCACATTCAGTGAGCTGTTAAAGCCTATTGATACTACCTAGGTTTAACCTCATGTGTCACTTTCCTCCATACTTACTCCTTTGCTTCTGTCCTTGCTCAGGTAAATTACTGTCAAATCCTAATCCCCCCACCACTCACTATCCTGCTTCTACACTCTGTTTTTTGTTTGTTTTTTTTTTAACAATTCTAACCACTTCACAGCCTCCCTCAAAAAACCCTGGAGTCAGTTCTTTTCTCTCTGTCTGACCCATTTTCCCAGTGTTATCTCCTGCCACTCCAGTTGAGGTGAACTCTTATGCTGCTTCCTGAACTGCTTCATGCCTTCTCCTATCTGGCATCTTCCAGAAAAACCACTCCCATTGAAACCCTGTTCAGCACAGGCGCAGCTGCTTCCAGAAAGCCTTCTCTGACCCTCTCTCGGAATTGTCTGGGCTAGACAGTTAAGCTTTCTTAGAGTGGAAGTCTTGTTCCTCCTTGCATTCCCTGTACCTCTTAGCAGAGCCATTTGCCAAGGTAGACTTCCTCTGAGCTTCTGACCTGAATACTGGGACATAAAATTACATGTCCATATGCATTCTCCTCACACTGTTTTATTACCGCCTCAGCATTCCCAGGAAATTTTGGCTTATAGTATCTTTTAAATTTTTAAGTTGATGATCTAGTGCAAATGTTAATTTTGTTATGCTGGAAGATTTGGGGGCGGGGCGGGGAAAGTACATTTTCTCATTTTCTGTTCGTGGCACACATTTTAATTCTTTCTCATGGAACCAAAACCTCCTGAACCCCTTTCAGTGTCATCTAAAATTTGAACTTCCTCTATTTCTACAGTTAAAAAATCCATTCACAAATGAGTTATATGACTTGATCACCTTATCTTTTAACTTCAGATTTTTCTTTGTCAAAATGAAACAGTACACCACCACCATTTCCTCTGTAATCTTCAGCTATGACACCCACTCTTCTGTCTATGAAGTGTTTTTTAGCCAAGTCAGAATGTGGAGCTGCTCTTCCATAACACCCAGAAGGAAGCACCATCTGAGTGTCCATTTTCACAAGGGCTTCCTCAAGGAACCCCTGGTTAGGGCTCTGGCATGCTCCAAGAAGCAGGTAAAGCAGAGTCACATGCTGTCCTCCATAGGCTGGCCCCAAATGCTGGGGACATGGTTGGTATCGTCAGTGCAGAGCATGGCAGAGCAAGAACATGAGCAGAGGGGAAAGAGCCCAGATGAGGCCTTGGAAGAAATATTTTACAGTGAGTGATTCTTAACAGTATAATCATAAAAGGGGACCCATATCAGAAACAGCATAGGCTGTTAGCACAGGCCTGTGGCTCTCTAGGTATGGTGCTCAAACTATCAGCCTCACCAAACCCTAGGAACATGTTAGAAACATAGATTGTCAGACCTATTGGACCCACATAAATTGAGATATAGTTCAGTACCACAAAATCATGCTTTTAAAGTGTACAGTTTAGTGGTTTTTAATATATTCACAGAGTTGGACAACCATAATCACTGTATAATTCCAGAACACATTCATCACCCCAGATAGAAACCCTGTATCCATTAACACTCCCCATTTCCTGTCTTCTAGCCCCTGGAAGCAACTGATCTACTTTCTGTCTGACCTCTTTTACTTTCATGCATATTTAATATGAATAAGTGATTTCATTTCTTTTTATTGCCAAATAATATTCCTATGTGGTGATAACACATTTTGTTTATCCATTTATTAGATGATAGACCTTTGAGTTGTTTCCACTTTTTAGTAATCATGAATTATGCTATTATGAACACAGATGCGTGGGGATTTTTTTCTTTTTTGACCTGTTTTCCTGTTTCTTGTGTATATACCTAGCAACAGAATGTTTACCTTTTTGAGAAAGTGTAGAACTTTCTCAAAGCAACTCTACCATTTTACATTCTTACCAGCAGTGTATCAGGATTCCAATTTCTCCACATCCTCACCCACACTTGTTATCTCTTTGATTTTCACTTTGCTAGTGGGTGTGAAGTGGTATCTCATGATTTGATTTGCATTGGAATCATATATTTTTATGTTGTAGTTTTAAGTTGCTTTTTAAATTATACTAATTGCCTTTGATTATTCCAGATTGCTTGTGTATGCCTGTTTCTTAAAATAACATTTTTAGGAGAACATATATATAGGTAGGCAGGTCAAGTGGTTTAGAGTTCATATTACAATTTTTGCAGATATTTTGCTTCAACTACTATTTATCTTGATGCATTGCAGGGTGGTGGCCTTGTCCATGTCACCTGTGGATGACACTTTCATTTCTGGGTCTCTTGATAAGACCATTCGGCTCTGGGATCTCCGCTCTCCTAACTGCCAGGTAATGTTGCCTCACAGTTACACTTTAAGTGTTTTCTGTGGTAAGCACTATCATCAGTGCTCTCTCTCACAGAAGAGGGAAAGCAGTATTTCCTTTCTGGGATCCCAGAGTCTTTAAATTATGGAGAAAATCTTTTCTTTTCCTGGTAGGTGACTGATGATTGAGTTAATGTCTTAATCCAGTGCATATTTATTATGATCCATGCCTTAGTGTTTTAAAGGCAGTTTTCCTGGAGACTCTGAACTATAGGTTTTAGATTTCAGAGATTTGTTTTTATCTGAATTCAGTGTCTATAAAATTGTACAGTTAGAGTTGATCTGAAATGAATTGCATGGAGACCTATTTTTTTAAAACTTCATTTTAGTTAGTTTTACGTTTGTTTTTGGTAGAATCCTGGGTTCATTAACTTTTTAAAAAATTTTCTTTTTTCTTAGGGTCTCATGCATCTACAGGGCAAGCCTGTTTGTTCTTTTGATCCAGAAGGATTAATTTTTGCTGCAGGTGTCAATTCTGAAATGGTCAAACTATATGATCTTCGTTCTTTTGATAAGGTAAATCTTTGAACTGTCTTGATACTATGGAAGTTTTGAAGGGTGAGATGGACGTTTAAGAGCCTTTTTCTACACTAGAGGAGGTATGTGGTAGATCTTAGAAAGCATAAGAGCAGTACTTAATCCTCTGCTTTCCCTAGTCCCAAAGGAATCTAAAGGGATAGAATGAGATTTGGCTCTGGCAGAAGGAATGATTGATGTGCCTTGGGCCTGAGGCTGCCGTCTTTATCTTTTGCAGGGGCCATTTGCAACATTTAAGATGCAGTATGATCGGACTTGTGAGTGGACAGGACTCAAGTTCAGCAATGATGGCAAGCTCATCCTCATCTCCACCAATGGCAGCTTCATCCGTCTGATCGATGCATTCAAGGGAGTGGTGATGCATACGTTTGGGGTGAGCTGACAACTTTTGAGCTTTTTTTTTTTTTCCTCCCATCCCTTCTGAGAATTATGTTTGCTAGTTGATGGAGACCAGCAGTTGTCCTTGGTTAAAGGCATGGACTAGCATTTTCTTCCTGCTCATGACATTATTTCTCTTGGATTCTGATACATTTACTTCTCACCCAGTGGCTCAAGTTAGGTGTTTAGATATATAATAATTCCTGACTATAAACATTTTCTAGCCCCCTTGAACATGCAGTTGGGAGTGAATTAATTGTGAAGGGTGGTAGCCAAGTTTGGAACCTTGGTAGCACTGTGCATGGAGAAGGAGAGAGTATTTCACAGAAAAGAAGATGTGTATGTGGAGTCAGTGTTTGTAGGCAATTACTTTTTTGTTAATGGCACCGTAACGAGTATTGTTTTGCTTTTATTTTTTAGGGTTATGCTAACAGCAAGGCTGTCACATTGGAGGCCTCATTTACTCCAGACTCCCAGTTTATTATGATTGGTAAGCTTTCTTTATCCCCTTTGGGGGTTATTTCTTTGATACTGTGCATTATGTTATTTTTGCTGGTTATAACTAACTAAGATACCATTTATTATCCTCTTGATAGAAATTTTCAGATTTCTGTGTAGCACATTATGTCAAAAGTATTGTGTCTTTAAACTGTCCTGACTTTGCATTTCTTTACTGGGAATGGGCGTTAATGATGGTCTTCTCCTGGACCAGCATAGAGTTAAGCCCTACAATCACTGTCTTGCTAATAGTACTGGCTTCCTGTTGTAACCTTATGTTGAGTCACCTTAGTATAGATGTTTGTAGGGTGATCGTATTTAGCCCCCCCCCCTTTTTTAAGCCCCCTTTTTAAATGAGAAGACTGAAGTTAGAGGGGAAATGACTTGCCTGAGAATAGAGTCTAGATCAGTTCCTAAAGTGTCTTTTCTTATCTGCCTTTACTCCCTCTCCATTTCTGCTGGTGGCTGGGTCCTGAGGGTTGGCCGCTTTCAAGATGTCAGTCCGTATCTGTTTGCCACTTGCCTTTGTAGTGTGCCTTGAGCTGTTGTTACATGCCTTAATCATTCTCTTCAGGTTCAGAGGATGGCAAGATCCATGTCTGGAATGGAGAGAGTGGTATAAAAGTAGCTGTATTGGATGGCAAACACACAGGCCCCATTACCTGTTTGCAGTTCAACCCCAAGTTCATGACCTTTGCCAGCGCTTGTTCTAACATGGTATGTGAACAACGGGAGATGTCCTTCACGGAGGGGCCCTTTTCATTTGGGGTGGGGGTCCTTCAGCGAGCACAGTGAGTTGTTTTAAATAGGCACAGTTACAAGCACCCAAGTTCATGTTTCTCAGCTCGTGGCCTCCCTATTTCACTTCTGTTATCTGATCTGTGATTGGGCTGACCTTTCACTTCTACTTTTCTTTCCATGATCTGGGATCACCTCTGAGGTCCTGGGAGATCTTAGGTCAGCTCTGGCTCCTGGTTTTATATCCAGACTACCTGGAGCTATGCCTCATAGTTTTTTGGTTTCTTAAAACTCTTTGAGCCAGCCTTTTGTGGCTGCAAACTTTCAGTTTTTCCATTCCTCTCAGATTATGCTGAGTTCATCAGAAATTCTTAGTTAATCACAGCTCACCACTTAGAATTTTCTCCAGGCCCCTGTCTCTTCCTGGACAACATGAACAAAACAAAGTATCAGTGAATCTCAGCCACCTGTTTCCTCTTGGCATCTCCTAAACCTGTCTAGGTATTTGGGGCATGAGGCATTTCATTACTCGCCTACTCAGAATACATTGCCCCGTCTCTTTTTCTTTTTAACTAAGAAAACTGTCAAAAAAAGAAGCAGAGCAATCCAGTCCAACCTCTTGTTATTTACAGCTCCTGAATGAGAGCTGCCTAAGGTCACTTGTAGGTTAACAGTGAAGCCAGATACCACCTCCTGGAGAGAACTTTTTTTAAAAAAAAAAAAAAAAACACTGGACCTCTGTGGTGGAACTTGTTGGAGGGAAAAAGAACTAGCTTACTTTCACATAGACTGGGGAGTGTTTCTCTGTTTATAGATTGCCAGTCAGTTGGTCAGGAGGGAGGGCCATCAGCCATAGCTGCTTCAACTTTAGGGTTGGGCACCTTGATGGTGGGGGAGGGGTAAGAAAACCCTTCAGCAATGAGGAGAGAAGCTTGGTTTCTTAGAGTTGACTCGTGTTCTTCTTTCATCCAGGCCTTCTGGTTGCCCACCATTGATGACTGACCTGCACGGTGCTTGGCTGTTTTCTGTACAGCGAGGGTGGCAAGTAGGAAAAACTCAGAGGGGACTAAGATAATAGTGGGATTGGATCATTTGACTGGGCTGGAGAGCATCCTTCCACATGGCCTTCCCAAGAATGTGCTGTACATCTGCTCAAAAGAAAAAAGTTACTTTGCCGAACTTCTTCAAAAGGACTCTTGGTGTGGCCGACTCAATCGGGACTCAGACTTGCCAGCTGTCACTGCACCGAGCTCCTCCAGAGGAGTGACCAGACTTGTGATGAGGGTATAGTGGGGCCCTCGAGACGCCTTCAGTTTTGAATGTATTTGCTGCTGAGGAGTCGGTGAAGTTGTTCATTCTGCACATCCCTTCTCCCCCCCCCACAAATGCATGGGAAGCCACAGTTCTGATTTTGAGATGCTAGGGCAGCTTAGTGCCCCTTGCCCTCCCCCTGCATGTCTTGTTACTGGGTCTCCCTGTGTTATTGTGGCATTCTCCACAACCGTTGCATTACTTAGGTGCCAAACATTTACAGAAGTAAGTCTCCATGTATTTTAGGGTCAGAAAGGGACAGATACAGAAGGACCTTGCTTTCCAGAAGTCTTGCAAGTTAGTCATGTGAAGGTGGGTGACCTGACCATGCCTCAGGCTCTGGGTGGGCAAAGGGTCAAGAGCCTGAAAGGGAGGGAGGAGTGGTAGCAGGTGAATTCCTAGGGCTGGGAGGTCTAGCAGCAGCTTGGTGTGGTCCTGTCATCAAGACAAACCCACGGTCCTTCTGGGTGCCTGCCAAGTTTGATTGTGTATGAAAGCAAGGTGGGCGTCTGTTTTTGTACATGAGCTCCATCACACGTTCCTGTGGGCCAGTATTGTGGAGTGAGTCCGAGTTGTTTACACTGATGCCTTCCCTGCCCACCACAAGTTGTGTACATAGTCTCCAGATGATCCTACCCCTTCCCCAGCTCCCAACACGGGGCTGGCCTAGGCCTGTGTTATATGTTATATTTAGCCTTTTTATATATGACTTGGGATTCTGTTGTTTGTATTTTAGCACAGTGTGTGTACACCTTCATTTAAATATATCGTGTGTGTGCATACATATATACATATATGTGTGTGTGCACATATATATATATATATATATATATTTTAAAAGTATCAAAGAGTTCAGCTGAAGGAGATGGAGTCCCATGCCCCCAGAGAAAGACTGCATCCTTGCTAATAGTGTTTGCCACAAGTGTTAGTGAGTCTTCCCTATTACCTTTTTCCCTTCGGGAGACTAAACAAAAGCAAAGCTTTTGTGTGTTTGCTGTCCCCATGGCAGCTAAGTGAGGGTCTTGGAATGACTGCCTTGTGTTCCTCAAGTCGCACTTTGGGGCCTTCTCTGCAGTATTAGCCCCTTTTTTGCCCAGTGATGCTCTGTCTGCGCCTATATGTGTGTGACAGTCACTTTTGCATGCCTTTTGTGTCTGGCTTCTAGCATTTGGGGACAGGATGCTGGAACCAGAGCATTTTCAGCTTGTCTGAGGCTTCTTTGCCAATTACAGGTCACTCCTGTTTACCTGGTATGTCTGCTTTCTTGCTTCTTTTCCTTGCCTTGTCTTGGGGAGGATTCCTGATCGGGGTTGAGATGAGCTGCAGATAGCTCATTACCTTTTCCCCTGCATGGCCTTCTTAAGAGCAGGACAAGTGGCATATTATTTCACCAAGTTCCCAAACATATAAGCAAGTAACACATTCCCTGCAGACCCAGAAACAGGCCCAACAAGGTTATGTTTGACTTGCCCAAGAGTACCTGCCCGCTGGTGGGGAAAGCAAGCCATTACTCTCACCATTCAGCAGCAGGAATAGGCTGCGAATTGCTAGCATTTACTGTTTTGTTTTCTTTTGCTTTTTTAGCAGTTACTTTTTGGTTTGTTCCTCAAATTTAAGGGCAAGGGGCATACATCTTTGCCAGACATAGACTGGAATCTACAGTTTCTGCAGTGCTACACTCTTTATAAAGCTCTGCATTCTCAGAGTGGAGAGACTTTTAGAAACCAAGTGATCTGAACGATTAACTGCCCACCTCTGGCTTTCCAGGGTAGAAGATTCATGGTAAGAGTAACTGTTCAGAGAGAGTACTTGGAACTGTAGGTTAACAAGAAGGCCTGCATAAGTGACATTATCTGTACCCAGAGCAGCCACCACACATGACTTGTCTATCTGCAGGAAAATGATTTGTATTGAGTTCCTGTGTGTCCGAAGCAGAGGCAGCAGGTCCTTTGAAAATATGCATTGCGCTGCTTCTGTTGATGGGGACCTGCGGTTGCAGAGCCAGCTCCTGAGTTGGGAAGGAAAGGGAAAGATGCAGCTGGAAGTGGCCGAAGATGATGCGGTGGTGGAAGTAAGGCAGAATTAAGGGAGGAGTGTCTGTGGGTCAGAGACGCTGAGGAGCACCAGGGCTGCTAAGGCACCTTCAGTGGGAGCCGAGGTGCTTAAGTTCTCCTGGGGGTGGGGGGCACACCAGGCTCTCAAGAGTCAGGGCCAAAGCCACTGATTTATATGTGACAGTGACACTGCACTGCTCAACCACCAGCTAGTGGGGTATTTTTTGTTTTTTTAGGGGAAAAAACATAACTTGCAGTCATAATTAATGCTTATTAAGAAAAATCTGGGAATTTTAAAAAGAATCAGTTTACCACCCAAATGTTACCACTGCTAATCTTTTGGTGTTAAGTGTTCCTCTAGACATTTCTGTGCATATAGATTTTTGGTGTGTTTACATAGTTGTTATTCTACTGTATATACAATTTTATGTCCTTTTTGTACTTAACATATAAACTTTTTTTCCATGTTATCTGTCTTAAACAGAGTTTTATGGCTGCAGCCTCTTCCATTGAGTTTTCATAGCACTATTTGCCTTGTTCTTAGAGTTGGAGGGCATGGGGGTGGGTTGTCACCTGTCAGTCCTCCTGGCTCATACTGAGACTCACCGCAATGTTGTGGACAGGTTATTGGACTTGCTGGGACTGCCTCTGGTAACTGAGGCCTGTGGGCTGGTGGGAGGAACCCCAAATCCAGGTCTGAATGCAGAGCAGTCTGGGTCCCTCAGTCCCCCATTCTAATAGCAGCAGTAGGGCCAGAAATGAGTGACCCAGAAAAGGCAGGCCTGAGCCAGCCTTGAGATCCTCAAAGGCTGTATCTGGTGTATACCTCAAGCTGCCTTTCATCCCCACTGTTAACCTCAACCCTTGATCAGATTGGCAACCTCTAGCTGGAATAAGGTTCATCCTGCTAGGCCCTAGCTTGTTGGGGGGCAAGTATAGTGGAACTAAAATTCTGGTAGAAGGCCTGGCCTGTTCCTTGGCAACCCACTGCCTGGCCAGTGAATTGGTAGCTCACTAGTAGCTTGGCATCCTCAGCTGCAATACCATGGGCCTGCCACTTTGCCCCTGGTCATTAGAGGTTGATCAAAGGCTCTGGAGGGCAGCAGAGGGAGCGTCCCAACTTGAAAGGGGCAGGCCACGCACAGGCTGTCAACATGACTGCTCAGGGAGGAGGGCCACTGCAGTGTTTGGCTCTGCTGAGAGACATGAACACGCAGGTGAGCATGGCTACCCTTGCACTGGTCACTCCCCTCGGTCTGGCTTGTTTGCAGTTGAGAGTGCCCACTTCTGGGCTTCAGCCTCGTGATGTGAGAAGCAAAGCAGAGTGTGGGCGAGCTGGCTCAGTAGCTGACGTGGGTAGTGGCTTGGCAGGCACAGGGTACCGCTTACAAAGCTTTGCTGGGGGCAGGGGAGGAGGGGGGTGGCAACTGATGAAGAAATAGGAAGTAAAACTGCAGGGCGGTAGGGCACACTTGTCCTTGCCAGATGCCTCACTAGAGTCCTGGAGGGGCTGCCCAGAGCTTCTGGGGCCAACCACAGTTGGTCATGACCCAGCTATGGACAGAGGTAGGCCCAGGAGTGCCGGGGCTATAGAATATGACTGTAAAAAGTGAGTAATTTCATAGTTTATCCTATCTCTTCCTTGGGGAACATGTAGGAAATGCAGTCTAAAATGAGTTAATGGGCAGGAAAGAAGGTCTGGGAGCCTCCCCAGTGTGTTAAATAAACAAGTTTCACCATCATATTGGGGCTTAGTGGTCCTTGGCCTTTCTGGCTGCAGTTTAAGGCGGTGAGTTGCCTGGTAAGAATTAATCTCAATTGTAAACTAAAGTAAGAGTAGATGAGGGAAGAGTTAAGATAAGGCTGAGGTTATGAAATTCAACAAATACTAAGCATTTGAGCCTTGGCCAGTGCTGGATGATAAAAAGAGGTCTTGTGAGGAAGCTGAAGAACTAAACTACTCATCAAACAGCAAGCTCTCGAGCCCCAACTGACTTGTCTCCAGTCAGTAAGTCTAGCTTTATTCTAAATTTGCTGTAAGCTTTATACTAAAACTATTACAATTTGCATTTTTAAAAAACCCAAAAGCATTCCCTGTGGTACCTCAAGCCCAGAACTCACAGCCAGCAGTGGGGACCCTCCCTTCTCCTGGGCAGTAGTTCTCTCACTGGGGCTCATCCCAAGCTGGGAACTAGGGAGGCTGCAGAGAAGACACAGTGCTGACTATAGGGAAATTTGTAAGGTGGAGCTAAGGCTAAGACTGATTTTTTTTTTTTTTTTTTTAGAAGAATGAGAAAAAGCAAAAGTGTACTAAATAATGCCAAGCTATACAGCAATTGACAATTCACAAGGGTTCTCTGCACATAAACATTTAATAGGGAGGTGATGGAAGCAACAAAAGGACATTATTGAGGCATCAGTTTCTGGCTGGGGCCAGTGAGGAGCAGTCAGGAGACTCAGAGTCAGGAGCAGTGATGACAGCATTCACCACTCAGCCACCTCTGGGGCTCCTTCTGCCACTTAGTTTCTCCCTCAACTATAGCCCCTGGACCCGTGCCTGTCTTCCAGCAGAGGAGAGCAGAGAAGGATCTCAGTGACATTCATGCATTAGAGACCTGGATCCAACCACAGGCTGTCTGCCCTTTCTGGCATCCTTGGCCAATGCACTTAGTCCAGCTGTCCCCATTTGGGAATAATGTATTGGGGCTGTTTAGGATCCTCTCTGAGGAGCCTTGCATGGATTCCTAATGTAAGGTGACTCTGCAGGACGTTATTGACAGTAGCGTTCTTTGCCTGGCAACGGGGGGAGGGGGGGTGGCCTGGGGGACCCCCTACGTTTTTCCAGCTCTGACTGCCTTGTAGAAATGTGCACCTTGAAATGGGCTGGGGTCAGGGCTTAGTCTGGGACTGGGGCAGGCAGACCTGCTGTCGACCATGGTGGAGGGATATCCGTATCGCACCTGGCCCCTTGGTGGTTCTGGGATGCGGTGTCTGAATCCTCAGTGGCTACTGTGCCCCTGGCCCTGGTGGTGCAAGGGAATCACGAACACAGAGACGTCGTCGTAGGACACCTGCCCTTCCTGTATGGGACTGTCATCCGTCCCCTGTGTGCTGCGTATCAGCATCTTGGCGAGCTCCGAGAACCTGTGGGGACCATCCTGCAGATGTACTTTGGGGCCAGATCAAAGAGGCAAGGCCAGCCCTCAGGGAGAACTCACAGTGCTGGACACTGGAGAACTCAAGCAGTGCAGTCTGACTGTGGGGCCTGGGAAGGCCACAGATTGTACCATGTGAGTATGACCCAGAGAATTTGGGGACCCACAGTCACCCCCGGGAAAACTGAGGTAGCTCCAGTCCTGGCCAACTGTTCTTAGCCGGACTCCTCTGCAGTGTTGTCCTCTCGGTACTTCTTAATGTTGCTGCTGGTACTAACCCAGGTCCAGGCAGATCCCCAGCAACTACAGTACCTGTGTGGGTCCTCTCGGTTGCCAGGGAGGAAGTGCCGCACCAGCCGTGCCACTTGCTCATTGGACAGGACATCCCAGAGCCCATCAGTTGCCATGACAACCACATCCTCCTCCTGGGGCTCCAGTTGGTCCATATTGAGCACAGTCACCTGCAAGGTAAGTCTGAGGTCTCACCACTCCCTTCCTAGCTCCCGCCAACCTTGCATTGTCTGCCTTTCTGGGCAGATGGAAGTGCTGTGGCCCCCTCACCTGTGGGACAGATAGCAAGAAGGGCTTGAGCTGAATATTTGTGTCCAGGACTCTGAGTTGATGGTCTCCTAGACCCCGGGAGACAGCCAGGGTTCCCAGTAGCCGAGCCTGGAGATAATGGAGGTGTCAGGTGATAGCAAACAGCCCCAGAAAATGTACACGTAAAGCACACAGAGGTGGACTGTGACCCATGGGTGCCTGGGCTGAGGGAGAAACATCCTGTGACCTTGGAGCAGCCCCTAGGACCTCAACCAAGACCCCCCACGAGGGACAAAGGAGCTCCCGCCTCTACAGGGGGCGATTCAAGAGGGATTCTCGGAGTGGCCATTCACTGACCTGCCTACCCTGTCCATGAATCAGTGGGTACTTGAGATCCGACTTCTCCACACACTTGTAGCTCCTACCAGGAGCAGACCCAGCATCAACCCAGGCCAACAGGCCCACCTTCCCCATAGAAGGGGACTGCCCCAGGCCACCCAGCTGAGCCTGGACCCCAGGGCTCTCCCCACAGTGTACCCAACCCCACCTCACTCACCAGCCACTCATGTGGTGATCCCTGAACAAGACCTTCTGCCCCAGGTCATCCCCCTTCAGTCGCCGAGGGAACTCCAGTCGGGTGAACTCACCAGCCAGAAGCTCAGGGTAGATGAAGGCCTGGGATAGGGAAGCCTTGCTCAGATTAGGCTTCCTCTGGTGGCCCAGGAGCTGGGGCTCCATCCACACCCTCCCTCCACTAAGGGCACCTACCAGCTGCTGAATCCGCTGCCGCTCAGTTTCTGGGGTGAACTCGGAGCTCAGGGGCCGTACCTCATCCCTACGCACCAGGATGGCCCTGGATGTAGTTTCAGAGGAGACGGAGAGGTCTGTGGAGCAGCCTCCATCCTTACCCATGGCCTCCCTCCTGCTGGCCCCTCCTCCAACCACCAGGGGCCAGTTGTGCCCATGCCAATCCCTTGCTCAAAGCCCCTCCATGACTGCCTAAGTCCGGCAGGGTAAAGCCCCAGCTGTCTGACCTGGTCCCTGAGGTCCCGGCCCCCTCTGGCATCTGACACGTGCCCAATACACAAACAACTCAGCCAATCTTTCTCATTTCTCTCTCTCCACTTCCAGTCCCCTTTCACTGTCCCCCCACCTCTACTGCCCATCTGCTTGCCCCACCTCACCCACCCTCCAGGGCTCACTCACCTGCTGTCCCCAGCATTGGCCACATACAGCTTTCCCTTCAGAGACATAGCCACCAGGGCTGTGCACCCACCCACCTGGCCTGAGGCCTCCAGCTCTCGCCCGATCACCTCATCCTGGGGCAAACCAAGGCTGTGTCAGCTGCTGCTGGTACTGCCACCCTGCCACTGTCCCCAGCCGCACCCCCACCCCCAGCGCACTTCCCCACCAGCAAGCATGGCAGTCCCTGCCCAAAGTCTAGCTATGACTCCAGGATCCCTGTGGTCAGGTGATCTAAATATATCCTTGGGGAGGAATGAAAGTCATATTCTAAACAGTGAGGAAGAGAAACCAGGGACCTAAAAGGATGTGTAATGAGATAATACAGGTAAAAGCACCTAGCACATATTAATAGGAGGTGCTGGAGAAATACGAGGTTATGATGACTGCTTAATAACAACCTAACCCAATTTTATCCTCTCAATCCGAAGATCCAGGGTGATCACCATTAAGTGCAGGGACACCACTCCCCCACCCACCCCAGAGTCCCTCAGGTCCCTGGGGGTAAAACCCTCCCTCCCCCAGCCAAAAGTCACACTCACACACTCCTGAAAGGCACTCTCCAGAGCCCCGATCACCAAGTCTTCTGTTCTAATGCCCTTTTCCTCCACGAACTGGGGGTCACTGGGGCAGATGCAGCGGCCGCTGAGGTGCATGGGGGGCTGAGTGGCCACCATGCCCTCTACCACAGCCTCCAGCTGCCGGCGCAGGCAGGAGTGCAGAGTGTTGGCAGCCAGGATAGCTGCAGCTGGACCGCCATGCCCATCAAACAGTGCCCAGTAATGACCTGTCAGGAACTACAGGAAGGGCTTGGCATCAGGCTCTGCTTGGCTTCCCTAGTTGTCCCCTGGCCGAAAGTGGGGCACTAGGGCAAGAACCTCAGTCTGCAGTCCTGACCCCAGTCTTGGCCCCAGACTATAAGAGGGACTCAGGCTCAGCTGCACTCACCTCCTCTGAGCACAAGGTCAGCCATTCCTGGTCCTCTTCAACCCCAAACTCACATCTCCGGATGCACAGCTTCCCACAGGCCGCCTGATCCTCATTGAACTCAGATTTCTCTGCATTGATGATTCTAAGGCCAGGACATGATCAGTGACGCTTTTAGGGACATACCTCTGCCCCCATGGGCACAGAGAACAGTTGAAACAGAAGGGAGCCCTCCCTCTGGAGCAATAGCCACCGTGCTGTCCCTAACACACACCTGGACAAACAAATGCTGGTAGTTTGCAAACTGTTCAGTGATCTCACAGCAAAGGCAAAACTCAGGACTCAGCCCTTCTGGAGCTTACCTGCTGTCCTGGGCTGGGAGGTAAGGGCAAGGCTGCCTGGGGAGGTGCCTATCGGCTGCCCTATCTCAGCCATAACCCAGGGTGAGATGTGTGTGTGTGAGGAGTGGGAGGACTCTCCAAAGCCCAGAACGCTGGACCTCTGCCCAGTGACCCTACCTCTTTTGGAAGCCTGAGGGGGTAGGCTTTTGGGCTGAGGGGACATGTCCTTCCCGACCTGAGGGGGATGTGGGAGGGACCGGAGGGAGTTATCCACAAGGTAGGGGGCGCGGGATCCTTCACTCAGATGAGCCTGTTTTCTCCGTACGGGAGGCTGGGCCGACGGCACCGCCCGCTGGTCCCGGGAGGAGGAAGCGGGCCAGGGGCGGGGCGGAGCCGGCTGCGCGGCGACGCCCCCAAACCCCAACCTCCCGGTCGCCCGGGAGGGAGCCTGTGCGCGGCCTGGTGCCATCAAACCTACCGACAAGCCAGTGATGTTATCAACCCCACTTTACAGGCAGGAATACTGAGCCTGCAGAGACAGAGAGGCTGGCCTCCGCTCACCCAGGAACCTGAGCAGGCCGACGTTCACCCACCCGTGTGGGGCCCGAGCCTCTGAAAGGGAAAGTGCCTCCTCCCTGCCCAGGGAGGCTGGAGGGGTCCGGGGCCTCCAGGCTGGATCAGTGTCCATGGCAGAGACTCAGGCCTCTTCTTGCTAGCCCGGAACCTTACGCAAGGGCAAGATGGGAACAAGATGTACTTGGAGGTGTCACACCTCTGACACATTGAGTAAGAGGCTCAGAGCACAGTGTTCCCTCAGGTGACCTGCGTGCCTCATCCACTTGGCCTGGCACCCTCCACTTTCAGACGGGGCTTGGTGGTCACCCTGGCCTTCCTTATCCTGAGCGTCCACTCCCACCCTCAAGGCCAAGTCTTGTAAACCCTGTGCCTCCAATCAAGATGTCCTCTCTAGACAGACAGCAGGGACCTCACTAGAATGTTAAGTGACTGATGGGCAAACAGAATCCTTGGTCCCCAAAAGACCAACTAGTCAGAGTTCAGACTTGTGACTAAGGGAAGTGAAAAAAAGACTTTCATCTGGGCTGGGGGCAAGATGCTGTAAGCCTCTTAACTCCTGGCTGCCTACCACCACGGGGTCTGCCGGCTGTGTCCCCCTTCACACCTGCATGTTAACACAGTGCTTTTTCACCCTCTGCCACTGAAGCCCAACTTCCTATGCAGGACTGTTATTTCCATCTCATAACAAGGACTCTTGAGGCCCACAGAGGGGAAGTGTCCTGACACCCAAAGCTGTGCTGTTTCCACTATGACAGTGCAGCTGACTCAGAACCCCCACGGGGGATTTCTCTTCCCCTTTCCTCCTCTGGGAAGACAGGCCTGACCACTCAAAGCCCCTGAGGCCCCACAACCCAGGGCCCTGGGGCAGGGGCGGGGGGAGGGGGGGGCGCTACAGGAGCAGTCCCTACCTTTGCTTCCATGCCTAAACCCAGCACTTGCTCACTGGTCCTTACTTCCTCCTGGAGGCCAGCCCTGCCCCACTGGGAGTTCCCCCCACCCACGGAGTATGGTTCCTGGGGCAGGGAAGCTGTGCCCAGCAAGCTGTCCCTCAAGTAACTCAGTTCCAGCTAGCCTGGAAGCTAATTTACTCCCAAGCTAAATTAGCCTAGGAGCTAATTTACTGACCCCACGTTGTGTGTCAGACCCCAAGCAAGAGAAGAGCACTAATGGAAATGAGCTGCTCACCTGTAGTGATGGGGAAGTCCTGGTGGATGGTGCTTGAATCAGCCTTCAAAGGGTAAGGGAACAAAGAGAAGGCTTTCCAAAGGACACCTGAGCTATAACCTGTCATTGGGACAAAATGCACCAGTGACCCACAGTGGGGCAAACCCAATTCTATCAGTGGGGTGACCTCCTCATCCCATCAGCCAATGGCTCAGAGGCTTTTAAAGTCTAAAACCAGAGGCAACAATGCAAACACAGTCTATTCCCCACACTTACCATCTTGGACTGCCCAGGTGGATGAAGATCCTGTTCTCTTAGGTGTATTCAGAGAAGCTCCTGGCAGCCAGGAGTCACAGGTGGTCTGTTGCCCATCTTAACTATTTTGAGTTTTCAGAACCAGGTAGAGTCCGATGGCAGTCCCATCCTCCCAGTTCCAAGGGGGCCTGAGTGTTCATCCAGTGCTACCCCAGGCTCCTATGGCTCCGGAGGCTCCTGGGTGCCTCCGCTCTTGTCTGAATCCCAAGCCTGATGCTTCAGCAAAGTGGTAGGTATGTCTATGAAAGGTTGACTGGATTCTGGTCATTTTCTGGGTCCTTTTTAAGTCTGAAGAGCTTGTATTCTGTCTTTGCTTTTTCTTTCTTTCTTTTTTTTTTTTTAATGTGTTTGGCTGTGCCAGGTCTTAGTTGTACATGTGGGGTCTTCCTTGCAATCTGGGCCCCCTGCATTGGGAGCATGGAGTCTTAACCACTGGACCATCAGAGAAGGGGAGTCCCTGCCTTTGCTTTTTATTTAATATTTCGGTCCAGAATTCTTTCTGACTGCTCTGTTCATTGTTTTTTGCCTGTTACTGCTGCTGAAATCCAGTGCCCCGTCACTCCCTGGACTTTGGAATGGCCTGTATCTGCCTTTTTCTGTCTTCAAAAGCCTGCAGGCTCTTCTGTGTCTAGTGTCTGAAGCTGTAGGTGAGGTTCCTTGGGGTGGGTCTGTCTTCGTTTCTGGGTTGAGTCCTCCCTGAAGGATATGCAATTCCTCACTTTCCAGTGACACCCTTCTGCCAACTGCTCGAATGAACCCAAGCCTGCCTCCTTCTGGCCAGAGACCTCTCCTCAGCTAACTCAGCCAGCCTGTGAGGGATGGAGGGTGGGGAAGAAACAAGCTTAGAGAAAGGAAAACTATTTTTAGGCTGCATTTTTTTTCACTCACAATGAAAATGGCTTTTGTTGAATTCCATATCTGTTTTTAACAAGATTTATTTTAGATTTAATTTAAAATATTTAATATATTTCATTATGACTCAGTGTCCTTCCCTGAAGTCAAACAATGGTACTAGTTTCTAGTGAATCCTTCCAGAGATGTCAAGGGTATTCTGTGCAAGATCATGCAAGACAAAACAAAACCATGTAAGACCAGGGACAATGAGTGCTGGAAGAATGTGGAGAAAAGGGAACTGTCATGTACTGCTGGTGGGAAGGTTAAATTGGTGCAGCCACTATGGAAAACAGTATGGTGGTTCCTCAAAAAAATTAAAAATAGAGCCACTGTATGATCCAGCAACTCTACTTCTTGATATTTATCTGAAGAAAACAAAATCACTACCTTAAAAAGATATCTGCCCCACCATGTTTGTTGCAGCATTATTTACAATAGCCAAGATATGAAAAAAATACCTGTGTTCATCAATGAATGAATGGGTTAAAAAAAAGTGTATCTATATGGTGGCTCAGATGGTAAAGAAACTGCCTGCAATGCAAGAGACCTGGGTTTGATCCCTAGGTCAGGAAGATCCCCTGTGAAGGGAATGGCAACCCACTCCAGTATTCTTGCCTGGAGAATTCCATAGACAGAGGGCTATAGTCCATGGGGTCACAAAGAGTTGGAGATACATATATGCAAATGACAGCATACTCTACACTGTATCCTGCACCTGAAGTTTTCATATAAAATACTATTATTTTTTTGCATCAGTTCTTAAAGAACTGCCTTGTTCCTTGAGACTTCTTTGCAGTCTCTGCAAACATGCAGACTTTATGAAGCTAGTCCCCCAATGTGAACATTTACATAGTTTTCTATTTTTTGCTTTACAATTTTTTGTGTGGGCATATTGGTAGGATCAGTTCCTAGTAACAGAATTGTGGCATCAAAGGCATTCATTGTTCACAGCAACACTATTCATAACAGCCCCAAGATGGAAATAACCCAAGTATTGTGCTACAAATTGTAGCACATATGCCCAATGGAATACTATTCAGCCATTAAAAAGAATGAAATGCTGATACATGATACAAGGTAAATGAACCTCCAAAACAATTATATTAAGAAGCTGTATACAAAATGTCACATATTTCATGTCTCTAAGATGGTTGGATGGCATCACTGACACGATGGACATGAGTTTGAGCAAACTCCAGGAGATAGTGAAGGACAGGGAAGCCTGGCATGCTGCAGTCCATGGGGTCGCCAAAGAGTTGGACATGACTGAGCAACTAAACAACATATTAAATATCCGAAGTAAGTAAGTCCATAGAAAAAGAGAGGAGACTGATGGTTGCCAGGGGCTGAGTAGGGGAGAATTGGAAGTAACTGCTTAATGAATATAGAGTTTTATTTTGGAGGGATAAATAATGTTTTGGAATTAGATAGAGGTGGTGGTTGCACAACATAGTGAATGTACTGAATTGTTCGCTTTAAAATGGTTAATCTTTTAATGTATTATTTATTTCATTGTGCTGGACTTGGTTGTGTCATGCGAACTCTTTTTTTAAAAAAATTATTTTTGGCTGCACTAGGTCTTTGTTGCTGCGCTCAGGCTTTTACTAGTTGTGGCCAGCGGGGCCTACTGTTCACTGCAGGCCTCCCATTGCGGTGGCTTCTCCTGTTTCAGAGCATAGACTCTAGGCGGGGGTTGGTAGTTTGGTGGTGGTAGTATTCAGTAGTTGTGGTGCTCAGGCTCAGCTGCCCTGCAGCATGTGGGAATCTTCCCGGAGCAGGGATCAAACCCATGTCCCATGCATTGGCAAGTGGATTCATTAACCACTGAACCACCAAAGAAGTCCCTTTAGTGTTTGTTTGTTTTAAAAGTTAATTTGGCTTCACTTGAGTCTCAGTTGTAGCATGTGGGATCTTCCATTGCAGTGCATGGACTCTCTAGGTGTGGTGCACAGGCTCAGCATAAAATGGTTAATTTTATGTTATATGAATTTCACAGTTTAAACTAAAAAGGGGGAGAGGGAATACATGTAATAATTTGTAGATATTGTCCTACATGAAGGTGGCACCAATCAGCCTATTTCCCCATCCTTTGACTGTTGCAGTTTTTTAATAAAGTTTTAAATTTTTATCTAAGGGCTTTCCAGGTGGCGCTGGTGGTAAAGAATTCATTTGCCAATGCAGGGGATGCAGGAGTTGTGGGTTCCATCCCTGGACTGGGAAGATCCCCTGGAGAAGGAAATGGCAACCCACTCCAGTATTCTTGTCTGGAAAATTCCATGGACAGAGGAGCCTGCTGGGCTACAGTCCATGGGGTCTCAAAGAGTTGGCCACAACTGAACACACATACCTTTAATTTTTACCTATAAGTAAAAAATATACAAGTCTAATTTGACTTTCACTTAATAGGAGAGGATAACCGACTTTTCACAGATTTGAGGGACATTATTTGCAGTTCATTTCCTATAGATGGTCTTTTTATATCCTGTGCCCAGTCTTCTTACTGAGCCATTGGTCTTTTTCTTATTGATTTCTGAGAGTTCTTTATATATAAAAGAAATCAACTCTTTATTTTGAAATGATTTTCAAGTATATTGTTTGTAGCCAGTCACAATTTTATGTTTGTGTTTTTATTTTGATTGTGGGTTTTTCTGTATAGACTTTTTCTTCCTTTTTAAAAAATTATTACAATGTTGTGTTGGTTTCTGCCATATATACAACTCGAATCAGCCATAATAGAATTTTTATTTTTAATGTAAATGAATTTTTTGTTTTTTTCTCTTATGGTTTCTGGGTTTAGTAACATACCCAGGAGGACTTCTCCACTCCAAGATTTTACAATCTCCTCCCTTTGTTTCAGTAATTTTATATTAATGTGTGTTAGTCACTCAGTTGTGTCCAACTCTTTGTGACCCCATGGACAATAACCTGCCAGGCTCCTCCATCCATGGGATTTCCCAGGTAAGAATACTGGAGTGGGTTGCCATTTCCTTTTCCAGGGGATCTTCCTGACCCATGGATCGAACCTGGGTTTTCTGTATTGCAGGCAGATTCTTTACTGCCTGAGCCACCAGGGAAGTCCTTTATATTAATAGTTTAAATAAAATTTTTTTAAATCTTTGACCCACCTGAAAAAAAACACATTCAAATAATTTCAGTGGCTGACTCTGTGTTGAGAAACATCAGCAAGAAAGGAGCAACCAACCTGTACCTGGACACCCTTATCATCCCTGGGCTCCTCTGAGAAGCTGCATGCAGCTTTCTCATCTTTCTGCCTGAAACCAGATCTCAGCTAGAGATGGAGTCTGTTTGGATGCTCCCCTGGTCCCTGGGCTCCTGGCTTGCATCATAGGCTCTGAAACCTAGCAGGACTGGGCCACAATCCCATGCTCTTAGGAAGTTCCTTTCTCTGGTTAAACCCTTTTTTCACTCAGGTGTGAGACAGTGATGGAGGTCGAGAGGGCCACTGCCCAGAAGGATTTCTCATCCTTTGTCCTAATCTCTTGAGTAAAGGAAACTTAGGTTCTTGGGGAACACTCACTGCCTTGTGACTTGGATCAAATCACTTTATTTCTCCAAACTTCATATTCTAAATCTGTAAGGAGACAGTAGCACCTACCCTGTAGGACTATCATGAGTATTAAGTAAATATGCCTTGCCATAGTAACTGTGCAACACACAAACTCATAGTTCATTCAGAGTTTTTTTTTTGCAAATATTATTGGGGACCCACTAATCCTGGGCACTGTTGGGAAAAGAGCAGTGTTGGGGATACAGCAGGGGCAAAAACTTAACGACTGGTGGGAAGAAGACAATAAATAAATAAGCAAGTAAATGTTAGGTATTAGGTAGTAATAAAAACAAAGAGAATGATGTAAGGTGGGGCCAACCAGGTAGCAGGGGAGACCTTGATGTTACGACAGCCATGTAGTTCATCTAGTGATGGGACATTTTAACAGGGAACAGAACAATATTATTTTTTTTATTAATCTGTTTTCTTGCTTAATTCCTGTTTCCAAGAGGTTGAGGTTCTTATGGTTCTGTGGAATAAACAAGTGCTCTTGTGGAGGTGGGCAGGTCTGAGAGCTTATATAACGAGTCTCGGTGTTGCTGGCCTCATCTGGGCTGTGACAGATCTTGGAGTTGGGGGCACTTGTCTATGAACTGTTCTCCCAAGGGATGGTTTCAGTGTCACACGTGGTTTTTATTTTCCATAATAAGTGATGAAGTGGTCATGGTGAGCTCACTACACAGGCCCAGTTCTTGGGGTGTGCAAAGGAAGATGAATAAGAAAAAACCTTTCGGTTTTGTGTGTGCTGGAGAAACCCAGGGTGTGGGGTACACAGAGGGCTCAATGCTGCCTATTTAGGGTGGGGTAGGGATAGGGCAACCCACTCCAGTGTTCTTGCCTGGAGAATCCCAGGGATGGGGTCGCACAGAGTCAGACACGACTGAAGCGACTTAGCAGCAGGGACAGGGACAGGGACAGGGACAAGGAGCAGGGAGCAGGGAGCTCAAGCTGAGGCCTGACACCAGGCAGGCCACATAGTCCATCACTAACTCTCAGCAACCCCAGCCCCCAAAGCCTTGCTAACCTTCCCAACCAAAGTCCCAATACAGGCTCTGACTGGACAGACTGTCCAATCATGTGCTCACCCTGACTCAATCACAGTGGCCTGGAAGATACATTCTGTTGGTAACCAGCAGGCAGGGGCTGATGCCCGAGAAGGCAACACTCCTGGCTATGGAGTCAGAAGTTCATTAGGAGTTGGGAAGTTTCTCAGACTCACCAAGCTCGGACCCTCTTTGCACATGCAATTTCCTCTTCTTGGAAAACTTTTCCCTTGCTCTACCAGGCTTTCCTCCAGGTCTCCACTAAAATTTCACCTCCTCCAGAGGGTCCCGTACTCTCTGCACAGGGTGCTCACTGCCACAGACTGTTCATTTGCTGACTGCCCAGTAGAAGGTCTGTCTGGGCTCCCACTGCTAGGGCAGGACCTGCGGGTCGAGACGCCTGGAGCCCAGGCCCCACAGGAGGTGCTCAAGAGACGTCTCAGAGGAAAGGGATGCCACTCAAACACACGCTTCCACCCCCCTTCAAGGCCATAAATTGGGGTAAACGCGGATTCCCCCACCTGCAAACCCACCTGGCCGGGACTCACGGGCCCGCCCCAGCGCTAGGCCACTCGGATCAGGGTGCACAGACACACACGCTCAGCCACACGCTGGACCTGTTTTCGGTTACAGACGGCACGCACAAGGGTGCGTACAATCCGACCCGTTCCCAGTTTTAGGCCCACCCGGAACCAAGCTCCCACTATGCGCACGCGCGGCCCGGAGTCCCCGCCCCTCGCCCGTCATGGGCGAGGCGCTCTGGGGGCGGGTCCTGCGGCACCGCCCGGGAAGCTGCGCGAGTCTGGGCGGCCGCCACTACATCCTCCTCCTTCCTCTCCTTCGAGTGCAAGCAAGCCAAGCCGGGCCGGGGCCAATCCGAGGCTCCGAGGTCGCGGGCGGAGCGGGTCACGGAGTCATGGCGCATCAGACCGGCATCCACGGTGAGGACGGATGGCGAACGGACAGGGGGCCGAGGGTCTCTGCTCGCGGCTGTGGCCCCTCCCTGGCTGTCGGGCCCCTCTTTCCTCTCCCGGCACCAGCCTGGGGAAGCTTCCTGTTCTCTTTTGCAGCCGCAGGTCGCCTGGGGTGGTCATTTCTTGGTGGGATGCGGACTTACTGTGTATAGTTGAGGGTGGGTGTACATGTAGGGCACGCAGCTGGGGTGGGAGCGTCTGTGTTCCCATCTGGGGGTGGATGTGCCTGTGTGTGCCCATCTATTAGCACGCAGGGGTGGGTGTACCCGGATGTTCACATCTGAGGGAGTGTGCACGCATGTGCACTTGTCTTGTGGGTACAGCCCTATGTGTGCACATCTGGATCTGACTGTGTACATCGAGTGCACATGCACTAATGGCTGATTGGAGACTGTCAGCTGGAAGCATCTTCAGATGATGATGGAATCATCATGATCAGTGTTTCGTGACTGTGTGCACATGTCTGGGGGTGTCTGTGTGCATGTGCACAATCTGGGTGCCTTTCAGTGTTCATTCGATTCAATGGATGCACAGTATGGCTCCTATTGGCTGTGTCTGTGTGAGGAGGGGGTCCTGACTTTTTGGCTTCTCCTAAGACCCTCACAAACTAGGCTGGGAAAAACTTGGGACAGGTGTTTTCTAAGTGGGGACGTGGAGAATTGCCAGTCTGACCTTGACTTCTGATCTCCCTGCCGTTTTCCACTCTGATCTCCTGAGTCTGCCCTAGTCAGGGTTGGAAGGTCCCAGTTCCAGGCTGGAGGCAAGGCAGAAGATTCTGACCTAGAGATTCCAGGCCAGGTCCCCCACCCCAGAGCCCAGAGCATCCTCCTCCTCCCACAAGGGTCCGATTCCTCCTTCCACAGGACAGGGAAGAAGCAGCGGCCAGGAGCCAGGTGTCCTGACCCTGTCTGGACCTCAGTGTCCCCCTGTGTCCCTGGCCTGGGAGGGCTGCCTGGCCTGTGGGGAAGGCCCAGGCCGCTTGCCCAGATAGCCCGGTGGTTTGGCCCTCAGCCATTCCTCTCACCACACCAGGATGCCCTGCCCGGGGCCATCACCATCGACCAGCCTGACCACCTGGATCCCTGCTTGCGGTTGTGGCCGCTTGGTGGCTGGCCCTGACAGGGTTTCCCTGGCCACACCCCATAGGACCAGAAAAAGCAGGAGCCTGGGTCTGGGCCAGAGCTCTCCAAGAAGAGCTGGAGGGGCGGCTTCATGACTCAGCCCCACGGAAGGGAACAACCCCTCCCCAGACCTGCCCCTTCCTTCCCCTTTGTCTGATCTTTGCTGCTGCCTCCAGCTGGGAGGGGATTAGAGATTAGGGCTCCACCGCCCCATGCTGGGCTGACTGGTCCTGTGGCCTGGGCCCTCCAGCACTCCCTCATTTCCCTTATACTGAGATGAGCCTGCCTAGGGAAATCTGGCAGCCCTCCTTCAGCCTGGGAGCAGCCCACCCCTCCCCATTTCTGGCCTGGGGAGGTGGCAGGAGAGATCACCCTGGATGCCTGGGTACCAGTCCCGATCTACTGCCTCACAGCAGGGCAGGAGAGGGCTGTAACCTGAGGCTGACTGAGAGAGGGTGGGAGGCAAGGCAGCAGGAGTGCGGGTGGGGGGCATGAATCTTTGATGATAGAGGCTCAGGTGTCCCAAGCCTGGCCTCTGGATTATTGATGGTGGCTGAGGAGACATGGAGGGCGATGTGTCTTCCGCTACTGGGGTGTCACTTTGTCCTGGTAACATTAGAAGGGGTGTGTCAGCCTCTCCCTTGGGGGAGGTCTGAGCAGGTAATAGCCTGCCCTGCTGTCATTGCACTAATAAAAATGAATAATTGTTATTAGGACAGGCTCTAATGCTGTGGGAGGTATTACCTCTATGTTACAGGGGAGTTTGAGGTTCAGTGAGGTCAGAGGTCATACACATCTGGTGGAACCTCAGGCCTGGGTCCACTGAGGGGCAGATCTACCCTGGCTCAGTGGGGCTATGTCTCCAGACCATGCCGCTGTCAACCCCAAGGACCTGCCCGGCTTAGCTGCATTCCGTCCACCCCGTGGCCTTGGAGGGTGGTACACAGCACCGCCCTGTGAATCATGCTCACGGTCACCCTGTGTGACGGGCACCTGAGGACATGACCAGAGTTTGTTTTCCTAAAGGCCCCCCCGCACCCACCCTCGAGCTGCCAGTCTGGGCCCTATAAATATTCTCTGACCTCACCCCTCCAGCTGTGTTCCTACACAATTCTCCTGACCCCTGGGCAGCCCCAAGGTCATGCTGGCCTGGCCCTGTGCAGCCCCCTCTGGAGACCCAAGTAGATCCTTCCTAACTTGGAGCTTGGCTTCCCCATCTGAACCACCAGTGGATCTGTGACTTCCACGTTTCGCTAGCTCTGACCATGATCCTCTCCTCTGCAGCTGTGTTCCTGGTCATTGGCTGTCACCTTTTGGCTCTGTGGCTCAGGGACCACAGTCAGGGTCTGTTTTGGAGAGTCCCTGAGAGTCACTCCTCTTCCTGGCTGCCTGGGGGTGGAGGTTTATCGCCCCCTGGCAGGATTGAGCTGGGGCTGGCCTGGCTCTTCAGGGCCTCCCAGGGTTAGGCAGCCTGGCTGGGGGAATGGGGCTGGGCGTGTGTGTGTGTGTGTGTGTGTGTGTGTGTGTGTGTGTGTGCGCGCGCGCGCGCGCGCGCGCATGTGCACAGCAGTGTGTACCTTTGTGTTTCTGTGTACAGCCACTTGCCTGCACACATATGTTAGCCATGCTCTGCATTTGCCTGTGTCTGAATTTATTAGCAACCTGGAGACTATATCCGTGTATGTATGTGTGTGTGTGTGGGAATAGACTGGTCAGTGCATACTGGGGGCTCCTGTAATTTTGTCTGTGGATATGAGGATGCTGGGGGTATCCCAGGCTAGCCCTGTGCTGGGCCTTCTTGGGGGTGCAGGGAACAGGTGGGAGCTGTTCATTCTGGCTGGCTTGGCCTATCCCATTCCTGGGTGGGCTGTCTCATCTCCATGTGCCCTGTCAACAGAGCTGTCCCAGCCAGCAGGCTGCCTGCCTGCCACCTCTGCTGGCTAAATTTGGGAGCTTGCGTTCGGCGGCCGTCTCAGGTTCCCGGTCACATGGGGGGCCGTATTTAATCTGGCTCCCAGCTCCGCCGCCAGACCCCCAGGACAGAGCAAGCCCCGAGTGTGTCCCTGCCCACACTGTTCCCGTGCCTGCTCAGCCCCCACCATGTTTCTTGTCCTCATAGCCACCGAAGAGCTGAAGGAGTTCTTTGCCAAGGCGCGGGCTGGCTCTGTGCGACTCATCAAAGTTGTCATTGAGGACGGTGAGTGCTTCCTGTGGGCGAGGGGACAGGCTGGCAGCTGGACCCTGCCGCTTGTCTGGGAGGTGGGGAAACGTTGGCCTTCAGCCCCCTCAGGACCTCAGTCTCCCATCTGGAAATGAGAGGTGCCTTGTAGGACAGCCTCAGAGGTGGGCATGGCCCTTATGCCTGTCACACAGGAGCTGGGGACATAGCAAAGACAGCCCTGCCCAAGGGTCCTGCCAAGCCTTTCCAGAGGCTCTGGAGTCATCTGCTGGCCTAGTCAGGGGGCTGGGCTGGGCAGGGCGCAGCAGGGCAGCGTCGCAGGGGATGAGTAAGGCCAGGCACTGCCCTCGGTGTCTAGTGCCATTCACCTCCCTGGGTGGTCGACAGGCCTGGCCTCACTTGGCCACTGGCTGGGGAAGATTCCTAAGGAGAAGCCACGGCCCTACCCAGGGGAAGTGCCCTTGCTGTGGGGAGAAGGGACTTGTGTCAGTCTCTTTGAGAGCAGGACCAAGGAATTCCAGGTTTGGCTGGGCCATGACTTGAACCCGGGGCACCTGAGGCTTCCATAAGGGGTGATGCTAGAGGTATAGGGCTTGGGGTGTGAGTGAACTTGAGCTGAGGCCTAAAGTGGGGAGGGCATTTGGGGAGGCAGAGGATTAGACTGAGGCTTGGGGAGCTCTGGGTAGAGAAGTCCTGGGATACAGGACTGTCCCTGGAGGTGAGGGGTACAGACTGCAGAACTGGGAATGGGCCAGGCCCCCACAAATCCCTCCAGCCCTTCTTGGTAGCCATTCAGTAGTGGGCCCTTCTGAGTGCCTCCTGAATGGGCTTGGTGCCCAGCTGACTTTTCACATGCTGAATTGGGTCAAAGCTGGGTCTGCCCAGACCAAGAATTCACCCAGGCTTTAGAGCTAGAGCTCTGCTGGATGGTGCCCAGGGTCCCCAAATTCAGATGCCCTCAGAGGCCGGGTTGGGGATATTGGGGTAGGTCAGTCCCCTGCACCCCTCCAAAGAGATGAACTCATGGCCCAGACCTCAGCCTTCCCTGTCACCTCCCAGACAGAACATCCCTGAGATGTTGAGCAGGAGGAGTCTCTCAGGCCCTTATCTGCATTCTTCTCTTGGGCACCTGGGAACCCCAGAGGGTCTAGGCCTCCTGACCAGCAGCCTAGCTGAGTGTGGCTTGATCTTCCTGATTTTTCTAGAAAAGCCAGGAATTCCACTTGTTACATCAGACTTTCCCATTTGAAAAATGTTGGCAACAAATTAAACAATTTTGGCAGTGCTGTTGCCCAGCTGCTGCCCGCCCCCCACTTTCCCCGGCCTTGGTCAGCCCGTAACTACTGGTTTTCAGCCTTAATCTATCTGAGTTCTGGGAGGAAAAGTGAGGAGGCCAAGGCCAGAGGGAG